ACGGGACCTAACGGCCGTAAATTGCAATAAGGGCAGAGACAGACAGGGCCAGGTGCGGGTGAGGGAGGGTTCGGGAATAGGGGCGTGGCCAGGTCGTGATGGGGATAACAGCCGGCGCGAACCGGGGCTCTGGGCTGCTGTTGTGGGGGAAACTGCCGTCGCCGTCGTCACCGTGGAGTGGGTCTTCCTCATCGTCCTGCAGTGGGCGCCTTGTAGTCTTGGAAGGCTTAGAGTTATGTTGTCTCAATAGAGTTACCTAAAGTTACCCAAGTGTATATAGTCACTCGGGGTTACTCGTTAAGTTATCAGTGAGTCGGCGGGTTTTATTCATAATAAATATACATATAACTGAACAAGACGGTGTCTCTGAGAGCTACATTACAGATGTATAATGTTAATATATAGGGTTTGATGAAACAAAGTAGTTGGATTCTTGGTTCTTTCGGTAAAGTCACGTAGAAGGGAAACAATACAATAATAAAAATATAAAACATTATTTTATTGTTTCCCTTCTACGTGACTTTACCGAAATAACCAAGAATATGAATCCCTGCAGTCACGAAAGCTTTAAATCAAAAGTGGTTGCAACTTACGTGCCCGTCAAAAATCTGTGTTTTCGATGATCTACCTTCTATAAAAAATCTGGCCATGTCTTGCGCACCCCCAGATAGGGGATCACGCACACACACGGATGGGGACGCTGACAAAGTAAATGGAACAGAAAAAAAGGACCGAAGAGGAAACTGAAGTAGCCAGCGACGTCGGCGCCCCACTTTTGGGGTGTCTGTACAAAAAAAAAATCCGCGCCGCAAACGGGAATTGTTTAACGGCCGAGAAAAACGGCGCCAACCAAATCAGCGACAATTCAAACGAGCGTAAAACCGTAACCTTTTTTTATTCCATTTATAATTATTCTCATTCAAAAAAATCTGCTCGTGTAAGACACAAGATGCCTTTCAGCAGCGGGCGATGATGAAATAAATGGAACCAAGCAGTCGCGTATTCTCACCACGTGACAAACGCCCGCCCGCATCGTGCGCTTTCAGATGCGCTCTTGCGGCCGTCTGGAATGCTCTTCCGTCCGATATTAGGAAACCACCAGAGATATGCAACTTTTAAATCATAATCTAGATTGACACTAATTTCTTTACAACTAATTAGCACGGTTGGCTACGCATGGCGCAACAGAAGTTCAACGTACATACTTACATCACACTCAAATCAAAGACGTCTGCGTCACGAATGCAGACTGCACAATACGTATAAATGCCGACGGCATGATCATCGCCAATATGCCCCAATCTCATGAGCAACCGAGGATAATTGAGCATGGACGATGCTCGGATTGGTTAAAGATCACTGCACGGATAGGTTATCAGAGGCTGCTGCGGGGCGACGCAGTGGGCAGAAGGAGAGCGGTGCAGCATTATCACAAGTCTGTGTAATCCCGTACCTTCATCAAAACCGCGTGAATCAGCGCAGTGACGTACGGTCAAATACCACCCATTGACCCACACCGCATGGGGGAAGAGGCCTCATCCCAGCAGTGGATTGGCGGAGAGGGCTCTTAATTTTTGTTTATTCTTCAACAGAGAAATGCGAAAGAACCTGGGAAGCGTCGTTTAGCAAAGGATGTCACTCGTGCGTGCGCATCACATCGAATAAAAACACTTTGAATCGGGAGGTCAACAGAGCCGCAATCAACCCCCCCCCCCCCGCCAGGGCCGACATTACCAGTTCCACGGTTTAGAAAAGTCATGCAGAGGTCGCCCCCGGTCCCGCCATCAAAGGCGCGTGTGGGAATTACCACAGCCGGCCCCAGGCAAGCCGGTCGGAGGTGACCGCCCCCACTTGTCGCGCGCCCGTATGAGCGTGGAGAATCGTTTCACGTTTGCCCGCTTTCCCCACTGAACGGATCCGGCGCTTCAGCCGTGCCAAGAGAGCACCAGCGTGACTCGGGTTGGCTTTTTTTCCCAATGGCAGAACCCAAACTGAAAAACGTGACACCATCCAAGTGTACAGACTGACACTCTCAATTGGCTCCCCACCACCCCAAGCCAGATTCGGACGTCTTGTAAGGCCCAGCGCGTGTTCACAGTTTGTTTCTGGATCGGCTCGGCATAAAAGAAGTTTAAAGCCGGCCGTACCGTCAGTGCCCGACAAGGCTTGGATACGCCGGGGAAAAAAACGGAGAAATCGACTTAACATTTCCCAACGAGACAGACGCGCAGCATCTTCGTGCCAAAGTGCGTCCCCCCACCCCACCGCCATGCTACACCTTCACCCTCACGTGCTTGTGCTGGTGGCGCTTGAAGCTGTGGCGGTGGGCGAAGGCCTGCCCGCACTCCCCGCAGCAGTACGGCTTCTCGCCCGTGTGAGTGCGCAGGTGGATCCGCAGCTGCACCGCCCGCAGGAAGGCGTGCCCGCACAAGTCGCAGCGGTGGGGCTTCTCGCCCGTGTGCCTCCGCTCGTGCAGCCTCAGCGTAGACGAGCGCGTGAAGGCGCGCCCGCACACGCTGCAGGCGTACAGCTTCTCGCCCGTGTGCGGCCGCACGTGGTTGCCGAACCCGTGCGACGACGACGACGGCGGCGGCGCAAAGGGGAGGCCAAGCGCCTCGCCGCCGCCGCCGCCGCCACTGGTCGCCTCCGCCACGCGACGCTCCGCCGAGAGCCTCTCCGCCAGGTGCCTGGCCGTGTGCTTCTCCAGGAAGTCGCGCCTCGTGAACGACTGCCCGCACTCCCCGCAGCCGTGCGCGGTGGCGCTCTGCGGAGTCCACTCGCGCAAGCCGAAGGGCGCAGCGCCCGGCCAAGGCTTCGGGCCCTCCTGCCGCAGGGCGGGTCCGATGGCGCGCGGCTTGGAAGGGTGCGAGGGCATTGGGATGGCGGCGGCCGTTAGGAAGTCCTGCCAGGCCACGCTCCGGCCAACGGCGCTGGAGTCCGCTGGCGCTTGCGGCTCCTGCGATTGTGCGACGGCGCTAGTTTTTTCTGACCACGGAAGGAGGGGTTTCGTGCTCTGCAGCGACTCCACGCGATTGATGAGGAACCCTGAGTGACTCTCTGCCTCTTTACCTACAGGAGGACACAGTGGTTCGAACGATCAGAGAGCTGCACCAATTCCACACGATTACCGCCAGATTGTTTACGACGAAAGGTGGGAGGACCTGCGCGCCTTTCGGCAAACAATCCATGCAATTACTTTCGTGGTGCGAACAAAATGTACATCGTCTTTTTTATTAAAAAGTGCAGTCCACAAAAAAACCCTTCCAGCATTTCTTTTCATCACCGAGTTCCAAATGCATTTCATAGCAGCACACCGTCAGAGCAATACCTCCGCTCGATTTTACTACACCAGAAAAAAAACCAAGTTGATATTTACAAAACAAAAATCTTAAGCCCCCAACTACCACTTTGAGAACATCTGATCTCATTTTAACATGTTCTGTATTCTGTTTTAAGACGTAGGATTTCGCGACCAATATTGTCCATAATAATGTTCATAATAAAGGAAAATGTTGCGGGATTACTCTCCTACACAACAGGTGTGCTGAGCGAGTAACGAATCGGCACGTTTTGTTTACGTGAAAAACCTGACTAATCATTGGCTGTGTTGGGTGGCGAGGGGTTTAACTACACATTTATATTTATGCGATCTAACCCCAACAACAACAAAAACATCCACTATGCATACTGTATGTGTTTCACAGAGATTCAAAGACGGAAAGCCGTAACAATCCTTTGAGCACAAACGTATAAAAGCGAAACATCCCGGGGATAATAAAAACATAAGCATGCCAACGCAAGCAACACGTTTGTGAGCAACATCACCTTTGAAAGGGGGGGGGGGGGGTGGGACACCTTGCCAACAGGAGGATTGGCTAAACACCCAATGTTAAAAACGGCCAACTAGCAAAAGCCATATGCAGCTTTTGCTTTGCTGTGCCATGTCCACGTTTGCCCTCTCCGCATTTACAATGTTGCATTTTTTTCGTAAGCCTTCATTGGTTGGCTTTGGGCTAAAACAGTATATCCGCCAAGGCAGGACTGTGGATCGATAAGACCACCGCCGGACCAGGCAAACCAACCAAGTTAAAGTCCCAGTTGGTGGGCCAATGCAGGCCCCCATCCAACTCAATAAATCAATAAATTTAGCACGACTCCGTGGAAGACAACAGTGGTCATCCGATGCAGAGTGGAGTGGGGGTGGGGGGGGCAATTCTCCCCCATCAGGGGAATGTGGAATTTCCACAGCTAGTTTCGCAGAAGCCAACAGCAACGAACACACCTTCCCCGACCCCCGGCCGCCACCCACCCACCCCCCAATACTCATTCGAGCAGCGGAGACGTCATGACCCCTCCGTATTGCTGAACGATGGGGGGGACCGCGAGCTCGTCGCCAACGCGCGCGTGCGTGCGCTGGTGCCGCTTGAAGCTATAGTGGTGCGAGAACGTCTGCCCGCAGACGTCGCAGCGGTAAGGCCGCTCGCCCGTGTGCGTCCGCCGGTGCAGCTTCAGCGTGGAGAAAAGGGCGAAGGCGCGGCCGCACGCCGCGCAGCGATGCGGCTTCTCGCCCGTGTGCGTGTGCTGGTGCCGCTGGACGTGCGCCAGCCTCTTGAAGGTGAGGCCACACACGTGGCAGCGGTAGGGCCTCTCCGCCTCGTGCCCCTCCGGCGCCGCCGCGTGCCCCTCCGGCGCCACCGCGTGCCCCTCCGGCGCGTGTCCTTCCACCGCTAGCCTCCGTGCCTCCGCCACACGCCTCTCCGCCGCGTGCCTCTTCAGGAAGTCGTAACTCGTGAACTGGCCGCGCTCGCCGCGGACGCACGGAGGGGCGCTCGGCGGTTGCCGCTCCCGCTCGGGGAAGGCCGCCCCTCGCCAGGCCTGCGCCGCCGCCGCCGCCGCCGCCCCGTTCTGCTGCGGGACGCACCCCGCGTCGCACGGGTTGGCGGGACGTGCGGATGTCGAGCCGGCGGCAGCGGCCGGGGCGAAATCCCATCGTTCTACGCTCCCGTTGAATGTGCCCGAGTCTTGCGATCGCGCGAGGAAGCTAGGGTTTCGTGGCGACGAAAGGGGCCCTTCGGTGCTCAGCAGTGACGCGACGTCATTGATGGCGAACCTTGAGTCACTTTCCGCCCTTTTACCTACAGGAGGACACAGGCGGCGTTTTTGAGCGATCAGACAGCTGCGTCCTTCGCCTTGCGGCCAAGCTCGCGTGGCGTTGCTACTGCGGAGGACACGATCCCGTGCATTTGCTCATTCGTAATCAACGCGAGGCAGCCGTGCGGTCACAACAGAGGCTGCTTACGACAGCAGCGGATGCTCCGTCGTATCAGAAAGCTCCCACTCTCGGCGGCCAGTTACAGAAAATGTAATGCCATTTTCCGTGACTTAAATCACGTACGCGGAACGGTATTTTGGCACGCACGTGTCCGAGACCCGTATCGGAAAAGCAAACTTCGATCATTATAACCGTCAAATAAAAAGCGCACCTATTGACAGAAGGTTAAGCCATTAACAAACCTAACGATGTTACGTCCCAAATATTGTAAGCCACAGCGATGAGAGCAGTTTCAATCATCTGACAAACTCAATGCCAATCAATGGCATAGCTCCAAAACACCCTTTGAGCAAACAAGGATGAGTTCTACCAATGTTCACCATGACCGGCTCACCAACTCCAAAGCGTTTCCCTGCTAAAATTGAGTGCAAGGCTACACTCATCAGAGTTGGCAGTCCCGAGGCGGTGGTCGGCAATTCCATTATGGCAGAGGGCAGACTATACATCTCCCAGACAATTAACGCCAACTGCCCACAAAGCATTACACATTTGATCAAGAGTACAGGGCTCTCACCACCAGTGCCACCCGGTAAGATATCACCGACTACGCACCAGGTCGCTACTTCTCTTCTGCTGCTCTCAAGGTCTCGAGTTGCCTTCCCCGTGCACACTGCCTGAGATCCAGGCTACAGGCAACGTCCATCTCCTATGAAAACTTTTTGTATGCACATATCACCCAATATCACCTCAAACTTTCTCTCCGGCCTCTTAGAATGCTTCCTATCTTAGAGTGCTTCCTATCATTCCCTGCTCCAGGAAAATTAACCCCCCACTCTTCCCACTCCGAGATATGCACGCGTTGCCTATTTGTAACAGTGGTTTGAGACGCACACACACACACAGTCACATTGAACCGCTCGATAAATCCAAAACCTATTGTGTAGTGTGACCTACCCATCCCGAAACGAGACCTCGTAAACTAATAACGCCGCTACGTACACACCGTCGTCTTCATTTTGCAATCAAGGATACAGAGTTCACGTATTTTGTTTTCAGCACACCTCTTACACAACTAACGCCGCGCTAGTTTCAATGGTGGCCATCTCGGGCCTGTACATCTTGAATGATTGAGGCTTGCCAAAACATACTAAAGTTCGAATCGATCCACAGGTGTCCTCCTTTTGGTGTCGAGTGACATCTAGGCTGTGCGTCCTAGGGGGGGGGCGGGGGGGTGGGGCTGGTCACATCTGACACGAGGAGTTCCAGGCTTCGTTACTGAGAAGAGTCACTGGGCTCGCGTCCGCCCTCCCCCCCTCCCACCCCCGTGCAAGAGGTGTAGACGATGCCGCGTCCAGAGTGTAAAAATCGAGGAAACGACTTTCATGTTGAAGCTTGTTCACAAAAGCTTGGCCCGTCCAATAAAACGTTGCACTGTTGCAGTTGCACAGCGAGACATCATTGCGGCCTCAACGCAGCATTCCACGAGACAGAACGCAAAGAATCTTCATTGCACCTCTGTTCACAGAGTCAGCTGGCTTCCGGCTCCAGCTACGGCAGCGGCACAGCGCACGGCGGGTCCGTCGAGCGGTGGATACTGACAACATGGATGGCCTGCTGCGGCATCCCATCTTGTGGTCGTCACTCGGGCAAAGATTCAATGTCTTTGTTGTCGCATCAAAAAACATCTCGCGCAGCAGCGGCGCGTGCACGGCAATGCGCTTTCACAACCAACGAAATTTCATTTCGAATTGGGCACCAGCGCCTTCTACGTCGCCTCGCAAGCTGCCCGGGCCGCTTGTCCCTCTCTCTCTCTCCCCCCCCCGCCCCGCAACCCGGCGCATCCACCTCACGCCTTCCCGCCGGCGTGCGTGCGCTGGTGCCGCTTGAAGCTGTGGCGGTGCGAGAAGAACTGCCCGCACTCGCCGCAGCGGTACGGCTTCTCGCCCGTGTGCGTGCGCAGGTGGATTTTGAGCTGCTGGCATCGCGTGAAGGTGCGGCCGCACACGGCGCAGCCGTGCGGACGCTCGCCCGTGTGCGTGCGCCGGTGGCGCGTCAGCTCGCACGGCCGCTTGAAGGCCCGGCCGCACACCGGGCAGTGGTGCGGCCTCTCCGTCGTATGCGTCAGCTTGTGCTTGCGCAGGTAGCTTGCTCGATTGAACTGCTGCCCGCACACCTTGCAGCTGTACTGACCGCTCGAGGCCGCCGCCGCCGCCGCCGCCGTGCGCTTCGCGAGCGGCCCCTCCCGCCGGCCCTGCCCGCTCGGCTCGTTTCTCCCCGCGGTCGACGGGCGCCCATCGTAAGGCGGACCCGCCGGGGTCCACTCGGGGTCGTGGGTCTCGCCCGGCACTTGCGACGACGCGAGGGCGATAGCGCTATATGGGCGGCTGCGCCGGAGGAGGTGCGGGGCAGCGGTGCCCTGGAGCGACGTCACATCATCGATGATGAACCCCGAATGACATTCCTCACTCTTACCTACGAGAGGAGAGAGCGGATTTTGAGGGATAAGAAGCCGCACTGGGTGCAACACAGCCACAGCGTAGCAGCATTCGCGCGTGACGGGGCGGGGGGGGGGGGATGCAGGACAGGGTTAATAATTTCAAGGTGAAGGGCCCTGTTCATGTCTTAAAGGTCAATAGGGCCATCGGAAGTAAAATGCCGTCATTGCCACCGCACCCACGGCATCGCTTCCCCTTCCTTCCGGTCAATGCTGTAACTGTTGCAGAGTTGACGCGAGGCATTGGGAGGCTCCGCTCTTTTGACTCATCGTGGGTTTGGGTCTCTTCCCCTTCATTGATGAGCTGTCGGCGCCACTCCAACACCCGTTTCGGTACCCTGCCCATCGTCACAACGACCTCCCCACCCCCCCCCACCCCCTTTGTGTCTACAACGCTGTCTTGCCAGGTTCTGTTCAGAACTTCCACGTTGCTTTGCCCTGTCAATATTTCAAGAAAATGTTCCCGTACTAGTCAAAGAAGTGTTGATTGCACAGATGCACACCGCGCATTTGATTTGGTCATCGATGTTGGTGCAAAAGAAGCCCATGCATGGCCGCACACGAACAAAATTAATGTGTTTTGTTTTTATTTGCATCTGTTTATGTTGTAGTAGTAGGTAATGGTTTCACATCACCCCCTGGATTCACTGACAATTGTATATACGCCACGGAATTTTTTTTTTTACGTAAAATCGATTTACAGTGCGCCGAAACGTAAATAAGTATATAATAGATTCCTGGACTAAACCCGCAACCATGAATCGTGATGATCCAGCGAACCACCGGGAGAGAGGGGGGGGGGGGGGGGGGGTGAAACGTACCACCGTTAATGTGAGACAGTCACGCTTTCGAAAGGGGACAAAAATCCCCGCCCCCATCCCTCCCATCAGCACCACGCATCGGGCTTCTGCAGTGCTCAAAAAAATCGTGAAATCTGACAGTGTGGGCGCGCCGGCATTATTCACACGACAGCCCCCCACCCCATCTCTTTCTCAAGACTACTGGCAGCAACTGCTCGTGAGCCCTCAATTCTGCATACATCTAGAACCGTCACCGCTCGAGGCAATCGGCCTCGCAGCACGCAGCTTGCACTTGGCAGCCACAAATGAGCGGTGAGGTCGCTGCTGCATGCCGCGCAAGGCTCCGCGCGTCTTTCCGCTCGGTGTTGCGAGTACCGCGAAGCGCGGGATTTTTCTTTTTTTCTCTAAAGACCGGCAACTCGCACGTCCTTTGGACAAGACTGTCTTGTCCCAGCCTGCCAGCCAGCAAAACTTTCTTTTTATACAGACCCCCGTCTCTCCACCTTTCTCTCGCCTTGCCTCTCTGTACCGTCGATTGCAATTTACCTTGATTTCTGACTTTTTATTTCTTATTCTCAACGCCTCTGTCCTCCGTCTTCCCTCCACTTCATCTCACCCACTCCCCCCCCCACCCCCCATCTCTCTCCCGGTTTCTCTCTCTCTCTCTAACCATCACTTTCCTTATTCCCACCCTATCCCTTCTCCCTCTCCTTCTCTCTTGCCTCTCCATAATCCTCTCTCTCACTGCTTGTCAGGTTCCCTCGCTCTCCTCTCATGCCCTTTCACTTTCTCCCCATCCCCCTCTCTCTCCTCTAACGTCCCTTCCTCCCTCAATCTCACTCCATAACCTCCCCTACATTTTTCTCAATACAGCATGGTGCAATGAAAAATGTTAGTGAGAGCAAGATGATACGAAAGCATGTGTGTGGGACACGCATCGGGGGTGTAGGGTGGATGGGGAGAGGCATGACGTCAGCACGCGAGGTACGTGCAGTGACGTCGTCGCCACCCCGCAAAAGCGCTTGGGAGCGCGGCACCCAAGCCAGGAAGGAATCCACCCAGGTCATCCAGCCAGAAAACTATTCACTAATATAGTACGAAAGCAGATTGTCCAAGAGTCCTGGCTTTTTGGGTGCATGTCTATCACTGTTGTGGTCTTTTACACTTTAATCTCACACACACACACACACCTGTACGTGTAAAACGGCTAATAAAATAAACTTATAGCTCTATGCAGGAACTGAATCTTCTTGATTCGGTCCCTGAAGAAGCTCCCAACAGTTTGGGCGCGAAACATCCCGCATCATGACATGCGGTGCCGACCTTAAAAAAAAAATATAAACCCATCGGAGAGCCGTACCGCCACGAGTGCAATCAAAAATTTCTGCGGTTAATGGTCATATGAACTTGCATTTGAAGGCGATAAGGAAACTGAGGGGCGGACCTCGAAGCTCAGTGGCTGACCGTGCAAGGGTCACGGAGACCGAGCGGACGCAAGCGAGCAACAGCGAAAGCACGGCGCGGCATCACAAGCAATGACAGCGATGACAACTCTCCAAACTGCGGACGCTGTTTCGTTGAAAGGAGACGAATTTCCGCGCGAAAACGAGATTTCACTTAACGGCACCGCGCCGCCGTGAGACCGTCTAGCAGCGCAGCGCGGGCAACGCCTCCACCAACATCACCGCTGCCCAAGTTGGTGCAGCGGATCTTTCGGCGAGTTTCCCCCGAAAAAAGGTGAATGATTTTCATCGGACCCGAATTGTAAATGCTGTCGTGGGTTTACTCTCACAACACACAAGCGGTTGCGCTGAACTAGTAACAAAATTGGCACGTTTTGTTTACGTGACAAACCTTACTACATTGGCCGAGTCAGGTAGTGGCGGGTTTTCATGGCGCATTTATATTTACGCGATCTAGCCAAAAAAAAAAAACTCTATCGATGCAGAAACGACGAAAAGCAATTACGGGCCTGGTCCTGGGAGTTTAAAGGGGGTGCTGCGTCACACTGCGAAGGCGTCTACAATTGGTTGAAGTGTAAGGCGTCGGCAGGGAACTTAGGTGGGTAGCCGGAGTTTTGGGTGCGGTAGCAGAGGCAAGCGGATCTTGAAGGTAATTATGGTCAAAATGGCCAGTCAATGAAGGGCACGAAGGATGGACAGCGAGTGAGGAAGAGGGTTACGGGTGGCGGTAGACAACACAGGGCAATGCGATTTTGGAGGCGTTGCAGCTTATTTTGGTTGCCTAGAGTGGACTGGACATGCGGAGTACCTCAGGGCTCAGTCCTGGGCCCCCTGCTGTTTTTTCCGCCTGTTCCTCTCCCGTTGGCCGACTGATCGACAGCTTCGGCATCCGCCACCACCCCTACGCCGAAGACGCTCTTCTCATAGCCTCCGTGAAATCTCCCAATATTTCGGGCGCCGACCGTCTTGCCGCTTGCTCGACTGCACTACAGCACCGGTTTCAATATCACGACCTCTCCCAAAACCCTACCTACCTAATCCGAGGCCGTGTTAATTTGCGCTAGGCCAAGGGCCGGCTTCACTCTCACAACCCCTCGGGAGTCTCAATCGCCGGCTCCTTCGTTCAGTTCTCCGACCGTGTTGACATTTCTCGGCGTCACCCTTGTTCCCGCTCTCTCTCTCCTTCGACACCCACGTCGGCCTCGTTCTCAGGGCCCTCTCGCCACCTACGTCCGCTCGTCACCTCCAACGTCGCAAATACTCTCGCCTGCAGCATCGCTGGGTCGCGGCTCGACAACTGCAACAATGCTAATTGTACGTACGGGCGTTGAACTTCCTTCGCACCGTACGTGGGCCAAGCATGCTAATCAGAGGTGCGGCGGAGGAAAGTCAAACTAAGGACAAAAAGCATTTCTAAAGAAAGACGTTTCCAATCTAGATGATTTAGAAGTGGTTTCCCAATATCGGAGGGAAGAGCGTTCCAGAGAGCCACAGAAGCGCATCTGAAAGCGCCGCGCGATGCGGTAACCGCCAATTACCTAGTCAAAAAGCTTCCGTGAATTTCAAGACTCTTGTCTTGAAACTCACAGGGTGCTGCTGCATTGGGATTCTTGGCAAATTCCATCAATGAGAGATTGGCTTCGTGTGGGAGATTAAATAGAAGCCGAAGGATACCCCCACCACGCATTCGAGGGGGGCGACATTCAAGACTACCACACCGCAGCAGCACTACACCTACAACACCTGGCAAGCCGTGCTGGCCACCCATCCACATCACTACGAAAACACGCCCTTACTTGCCCACCGTGAGAGTGGAAGCAAGAAGGGCGATTTCGGATGTGGGCAATTTCATAATTGTATTATTATTATTAACGTGGTATCATTATCGTAGTGTACTTTACTCATGTCTTGAACCAGCATTGAATACATTTGTACAACGCAACTGGCGTAAGGCTGCAACAGGAATGCACCCAACACATGCGATTCGCATAAATATATCTATAATGAATGAACAATGTCCACACAGGAGGCTCAAACTTTTAAGTGCAGGATTGAACGGCGCCGATGGCGTCGTCTTCATCAACCAGCATCGGCCGCGTTGCGTGCCATTTACGATTCGTACGCTCCACACCGTCCTTCCCCTTCGCTCAGTCACCTCTGCACCGTCCGCCGAACCGCTACGCGCAACAAATTCGGCGTGCGCGTGCCGCCGAACGGGAAGCAATCTCAAACCGCGGACGACGGCACGGGAGCAGCGCCGCCGCTGCCGGCCTGCGGCCGCCCACCCGCCACGGGTCAACTCCTGAACCCGCCGTCCACTCGCACGGTCGCCGAACCTCGGCACTAACGAACGGAATGCCGCAGTCGACGTAACCGCCCGCCACGCGGAAGAATCGTAAAAAAAAAAAAATAGCGACCGCTCTTACCCGGTCCATCCATGCACGAGGCGGCCATGCCCTCCGCTCCTTCTTGCGACCGCCAGCCGCCGCCGCCGCCACCGTCATCGTTCTCATCCACCGATCCCTCGCCTCCATTGTCCCCGTCTGGAGTGAGAGGGCAAAGGTCGTCGGGGTCTTATCTCACAACGCACGTTCAAGAGGTGCGCGGCTATTAGATCCTTGCTCTCGCGGGAATGGAGCATTCAAGGGACGGGCTCGACGGCAGGTGCAACGGGGAAATTCGAAGCCGGCTGGTCTGCCCCGTCCCCGCGGAGCCCCGTGTGAGGGGGGCGCGAGAGGGGAGGTCGGGCGGGACGGCTGTTTTATGCGGGGACCGGGTGGGAGCGGATTACTGCTCTGTGGGACTTCAGCCCATGATAAGATAATTTGTCGCGAGCAAGTTATTGTATTTGCAGTGCTTTGTTCCAAGGTTCCCCCCCCCTCCCTTTCCCACCTTTCCCTGCCCCTCTTTATTACCCCATTATGTTGGTTATCCTTCCCCTCATCCTTCCCTCCACTACATAAAGCTAAAAATAGTTTAAATTCATAAAGCGCCCCCAGGCAATTGTGGTCCCTCCTTGGGTGGTACAGAGCGCGAATTCCCCCCCCCACCACCTCCGTTAACCGCTCCCCCCCCCCCCCGGCACGCCGCTCTTGGATTGTCGCTCGCAGAGTTTCTGTCCCCCAGCCCAGCGCCCCCACCCCCTGTATTGTGACCGGTGCTTTGTATTAGGCTTGTGCTGAGTCGCAATACAAATTAAGAAACCAAAAAAAAGACACGCAGCAGCTAGGCTGTGCCCCCCCCGCCACCCCCAACGGCTCCGCCCGACACAACGGATGTGCCTCTTGAAGCTCCGTCAACGAGCCAGCGTCTTACCTTGGTGGCGAGTAAGAGGACCGCACACAGGAGCAACTTTTTTTTTTAGAGAGGTGGCGCCGGGGTGGCTCGAAGCTCGAGCGTCGAGCTAGCGCCGGCCGAGTTCCCGCGTACAAAACCAGGCAGCCGCTCGTGGTTAAACCGTGATTTCTGCTTTCTACGCTTATAATTTTCTTAAACGTCAAAATTTTGCTCCTCCAATCAGCACGCGTTAGTTTACAGCCCTTTGTCCATCCATAGCAGAATGAAGGCCTCCCCACCCCGTGTCTGTCATTAGAGTTGTTTGACCATACTTCAACAAACTCGTGAGTGCATGTTGCTGAAGGGTGACAGGTCTGAATCAGATATCACCTGACCACACACAATTAGCACAATGAACCCATTACTGCTGTCAATTCCCCCGCACCGCCGATAAGCACGCTTGGCTACGTATGACGCGAAAATAAGTTCAACATGCATACATATGTAGTGTAATAACGCTGGCTGCTGACGGAAAGATGATACTGACAGCAGAGGGCAGCACACACGTCAACAGAGGGAGTATATACGGGGGGGGGAGGGTGAAGAGAACTAGAGAGAAGCTCAGGAAGGGGTCCATCTGGAAGCCCGGGACCCTGCTAGTAGGTTCCAGAAAGAGGGCGTGGTGAGGGCTGAGCGAAGCCACACCGGGAGGATAAAAGGGGCCCGGGAAGAGAGCTCGGGGCTGTTGCCGGAAGTGGATCCCCTCGCTGTTTTGCTGTTCGTCACCTTCGTCGCCGCCGTCTTAACCATCCCCTAGACGCCGCTAGCTAGGCAGCCTGCCAACTGCGCAAGCTAGATAGTGCCATCGAATGAGACTGATGTGTGACTAGTGTGTAAGCACGTAGGGCGTTTGTAGTTCTCTGGCGTGTGAGAATAAAGAAGCTGCCTTAACGATCCCTGTCTCCGAAGCGCGTCACTACACATGCACAGCTTTGAGAAATAAACATATAGGTTGGAATTGAATGCGACTCACATTTGCGTATTATAGTGCGATGAACATTTGTGCATTGTGCATGTGGCAGGGTCAGTGACAAAGGTGCTGTCATTTCATGCAGGAACCTCAGAAGCGGCACTGTGATTTCAGCTTCAGCGCGGTGTGATGCACGCCGCTCTGTGAGACATTCCTCGAGTTCTATGTCGTGTAAAAAATGTTAAATATAAAAAAACATATACAGGGTGCTTAAAAAAAATGTTAACACTTCTGAGAATTTGCAACAATACCACGAGAAATGTGCCTCCGGGCTCTGGAGACCGAACATACATTTGTTATCATGTTCTTTTTCCATTAAAAACGATAGTCCCAGATAAGTACAAAAAAAGTTTGAAGAACCGTGTGTGTGTATATATATAGTAGATCATTGATTAATTATTGAGTAGCTTGGGGGGGGGGGGGGGAAGGGGGCGTCGGATTTAAAAACGCCGGATAATCACATCATTATTTAATATAGCTTATTTTTGCACATTCTTGTAATAACGCTACATTTGTATGTGTTGTGTAGATGTTTGAGTGTTCTAAATGTATTTACTGGATGAATTTGGCGTAAATATATAGATAAATATAAACATTGTGAAATATTACTGTATCTACTGTACTGTACTTACACACTCCAAACTCGAAGACTCTGCATTGGGTGATGATGGGGCGTGGGGGGTAGGGAAGTGGGAGGTGGTTATTCAGAGTCTGAATCCAACTCCCATCAGCTGCGATGGAGGTTCGCCGGATCGGGCGGGGACCGCCGGGTAATGTCGGAAACCGGGCAATCGCGCGCGGGACAATTCGATTATCCTGCTGTGTAACTTGAAAAAGCACTTTTTTTTCCCCCCCCCGGAGGAAGCCTCACCCTCGTGGTCTTCCATTTTGATGATGCGCATCATCTTGTTCTGGCCAAAGTCGTCGATGATGGACGGGGCGATGTCGCCGATCTCTTCTGCACAGAACACCGCACACGGGAACGGCCGTTAGGAAGCCACTGGAGGCGACGCGCCACTTTTACATCATCCAGACCAGTGGTTCTTAAACTTTTACTTGCAGCCTGCACCTCCTTTGGTTCTCAATCATAAAAAAAGTATATTAATAAATACATAGGTTTGATGAAACAAAGTTGTACTGACGTGCCTTTGCTTAATTTGTGTTTTCGTTGATTTACCTTCTAAGAAAAAAAAAATCTGGCCACGTCTCACACACCCCCAGAAAGGACATCCTCGCAACCCCAGGGGGTGTGTGCACTCCAGGTTAAGGATCACTGATCTCGAGTGAATACTCGTTTCTTTAAAACTGCTTTTTCTGTGTTTAGTTTGTTGTCCTTCCCCCCCCCACACACCTCAGATTAGCACGGTTAGCTACGTACGGTGCTGCGAAAGAAATTCAACGTACGTACGTACATGGAAAAAAATCAAGCAAAGCGAGCGACCCGGCCACACAGCACCACCAATAGGTGCATTAATCGTAGGAAAATTAGCTTTAAAAAAATCAACATGTTGTTATCCTCCCCTGAATGTATGAGGAAAAGCTATTCAAGACTCTTCATGGATGTTCCGCCCCTGGCGCCTACCTCTCCCCTCTCATTTCCCTCTACTCCCCTCCCGACACTCTCCCGACCCATCCCCTCTCATCTCACTCTATTGCCCTACGCTCCAGTAACGCAGACTTACTGTCGAAATGCCTAGTTAAGCTCGTCGAGTCTGCAACGTCCTCCCCTAGCCGTCCGCACTGCCGACTCCCTGTCCCTGTTTATGCTGAGGGTCAAACGAGGGTCAACTTCTCCTACAACGTTCCAATGTTCTGTCCAGAGCTTATCGAGATACAGCTGCATCTAAACCACGGGGTCAGCAACCTGAGGCTTCCCTTTTTTCATTTTTTTTATAGAATTGAATTAATTAAATTCTGTTCTTTACACTCTAAATTGCAGTAGAGGCAGTCCCAACGTTTTACGACGTTACGATGCGTTCCTGGAAATCCCGTTGTAAATCGTATCGTCGTAAATGCGACTCCATACTTGACCATAGATGTAATCTTACTGTCTCAGTGACCAAAAAATATACAGTCAAACTGTATAACTCAGTGGGGGGGGGGGGCGGGAGAAACAAAAGCGATGCAGTTTATTCCATCACCTATTTTGTGTCATTAAGTCAGATGTGTTTTGTGTCACCTGGCTGCTGTGTACCGTGTACAAGTAGCTTTGCGTGCGATGGGACTTTCAAAATATTTTGGTCGGACAAAAATAAAAAAATGCCTCCTCTTCTACGAAAAGTTGCCGGACCCCCTGACCTACATGCAATACGAATTACGATTGTCAAGTTAACGGCGCAGCAATGGACTCCAGAATCTATCCGTGCCAGTACACCCCCACCCCCAGCACGTGTGCGTCGGGTTTCTCTAGGTGCTCATCAGTTTCGACCCGCGTGTGAGGGCAACAAAAAATGGACTCGTTGATGTAAAATGGTCAATCATCCCGATGCAGGACTTCTTCTGGGCAATAATCGTGGGCGGTGCCTGAAAGGTGCAAACGCATAGAAACACATTCCTGCGGAGGGGGCTGGTAGGAAATTTTGAAGTAATTATGAAGTGATTATGTACGGATATTTATAGCCAAACTTGTTAGGGTCGTGCGCAGAAGCAAAATGAAAAGTGAGCAGAATTATAAAACGACGCCAGAAAATGCAGTGTAAAAGAGGTCGCACCAGAAAGTGCAGTGTTATAATCCCCTGCCTCCTGTGAATTAATCCTGGTTGGGCTTCCAAGTCCATATAAGGGCACCACGGGGTGACCAGCCCCTCCCCACCAAGCCCCACCCTTCCCACCCCCACCCAGCCCCACCCAGCCCCTCCCCACCCTCCCCTCCCCACCCAGCCCCCTCCCCTCCCCACCCAGCCCCTCCCTACCCTCCCCTCTCCACCCAGCCCCACCCCTCCAACGTGGACAGACATACACAATTAATCCCCTGCGTTCTGTGAATTAATCCCGGTTGGGCTTCCAGTCCACTAAGTTTCCTACCAGTAATAAAACTAAACCATTCCCATCCTACCAGGCAAAGCCCCACTGAACGATTAACTTATTTTTCAGAAGCGACCTGGCCACAAATGATAGCTCAATTGTAAAAACGCAATTTGAACTTAAATACTTTCATCTCTTTTACGCATTTATAATTAGTGATTTGCTTTCCATACCTATACTTTGCACGCCGATCGTTTTTGTATTGTTTGGTGTTTTAACTTTCTTACCCGCCCCCCCCCAACTGGACATCTGTGATAAAGAGCTTCGTAGGTCATCGGATTTATCCAGGATAAATAAAGATTCTGATTCAAGGATAATAAATTAACATAATTGTAATCATCAACCATAACGTATCCACTGGCTTCGCTCAAGCTGTTGCTACCTCTCACCGTCTCGGGATGAAACGATCCATCTCCTGCACACTCAAGCCGAGCTCATCGTCCCACCTCTGTCGTGGGTGTCCTCTTGGGCGAGGTTCCCTCCTTTATCTGCCATCATTCGGCACCTCTTCAGGTCACGTGTCCTGCCCAAGCCCACTAATATCTCCAATTTGCGTATATATTTTTTCGAATCCACGATGTTCCTCTTTCCGCCCCTGAATGTCTTATTATCACTCCCAGCATGCAACTTTCCATGCTTCTTACAGTTTATTCTTAAACTAAACTATTTAAAGCAATTTTATTTTATTTTACCAGGTATGGCCCACTGAGCTATAGAACTAGTTTTCAGAAGCGACCTGGCCACAAATGATAGCTCAACGAACATGGCTTCTCACGTGGAAATTAATAGCAGTCAAATAGTCTAAACGCGTGTTCCTGAATGTGGAGGGAAAAACCAGAGGACACGGAGAAATATCCACACAAACACCGCAAACATTCTAATATACTGTAATCAGGGTGGGAATCGAACCCAAGACCTCCTGTATACCGGGCGAGGTAGTTAACATCTCTATCCCTAACAGTGCTGTTTGTTGTTGGCCTCTTGGTGCTTCGGATGTGTGCTCAGTAAATTAAATTTGGCTCATGCTGTACATGCAGCGCCGTCCGTCCCTCACCATTTTCCGTGCAATTCAGATGCTGCTCCACCATGGCGGCCTCTTCCACGCCGCCGGGACTCGAGCCACCGGCGCAGGTTCCGGCCCCGTCCATGGCTCCCAGCCTCCGCGCGGACAGCAGCAGCTCCCGACTCAAGCCGCTGAACAGTGCGAGCAGCACGTCCACCAGGCCTCCCAGCGTCACGTCGCCTGGGGAGGAGGCGGCGGCGGCGTCGTCTTCGTCCCAGCGCGGCGTCCCGGCGGCGTCGTGGGGCTCGGCGCCCCGCAGGGCCTTCACCACCTGCCGCAGCACGGCGTAGAAGCCGAAGGGCAGGCGGTCGCGCGCCGCGGCCAGCAGCTCGGCCCGCACGAGGCCGTCCCCGACGCAGGCGCGCAGGACCCCGTAGTCGCGGATGCCCAGCTCGGAGTCCATGGCCCGGGCCACCTCCGCGTTCACGCCCTGCGCCTCCAGCCACGCCGGGAAGTCCCGGTTTGGCTCCAGCACCGCAGCGCACGCCATTTCTGTACGGGTACTGAGAGATCATGGGGCGACGTCAGTGCACAATCGTAAAAAAAAAATCACTGGACAGTGATCAATGTCTCAAGGGTCCCACAATGTCCCCCAATTCATCCAGCTTCTATACATGAGCGGATCTGGTTTACACTTTTGCGCTACAATTACTGAGCTGCCACTACCAGTTTTTTTTTTTTTAAACCAAATCGCCCTGAATGTGCCCAATCTCGGCAGACGTTGGAAGCCAAGCATGCGCTGAGACCTGGTCAGTTGCTTGAGATGGGGAAATGACATGGGACTATACCAAGCGGTGTAGAGGCAGCTTCTGTTGGACCACACCGCAATAAACCCTGTAACTCGAGTTCGAGTCTGTGAGGAGGCAGTCATCTAGCAGTGGATTGACAGGGGGATACATGTGTATCACAGGTACTGCCACCCTTTACAGCAGTGGTTCTCAACCTTGTTTGGCTACTACTGTACCCCCCCCCTTGTTGCATTATTCCAACAGAGTTCCAGCCGCCTTGCCCGACCCCAACAACGAGGTGCTGAGAAATCAACGTATGAATAACGAACATCGGTTTAGGATACCTCACATTTCGTGAGGGATCCTAAACCAGCTGGAAACTGCAAGCGAATAAAACAAAAAAATCCAAACAGACGCCCTGCGCTCGCACGACGCAAATTGTTCGCGCTCGCTGGTTAATCTTTGGCTTACGATAAACCGAGTTCAAAAAGGCATTTTTAGATCGTGCTAGGTTACCGTATGGATTCAAATGTTGCAGAAGTTATTTTATAATGGCACATTAATACGTGAGTAATCACCAATGGCTTTCATGCACGGTATAATTCGACGCATTTGTAAATCATCACCTCACGCACCCGCTGGGACATTGCCACGTAGTGACCACCCCCCGCCCCCGAGAGGTCCGCGTTGAGAATCACTTCTCGATGGTCTACTCGTTAGGGATTACTGTTGTTTCTGAGGCAAGTACAATCAAGTACTGTTCGCTGTTAGTTTAGAGCCATGTGTCCATCCACAGCAGAACGAAGGCCTCCCCACCCCGTGTCGTTGTGTCATGGGAGTTGTTCGACCATACTTAACCAAACCGGTGAGTGCGCGCGTTGGTGAAGGGAGTGTCAGGTCTGGAGCAGATATCACCGACCACACACAATTACCTCAATTATCCCAGAATTGTGTTGTGTTTCCCCCCCCCCCCCCCTCCGGTACCTCCGATTAACACGGTTGGCTACGTACGGTGGGAAAGAAGTTCAATATACAGTACGTAGACTTACACAGAGACCCAAAGACTCACACAGAGATCCATTGACTCACACAGAGATCCATAGACTCACACAGATCCATAGACTCGCACAGAGATCCATAGACTCGCACAGAGACCCATAGAATTACACAGAGATTCATAGACTCACACAGGAACCATAGACTCACACAGAGACCCATAGACTCACACAGAGACCCATAGACTCACACAGAGACCCATAGACTCGCACAGAGACCCATAGACTCACACAGAGACCCATAGACTCACACAGAGACCCATAGACTCACACAGAGACCCATAGACTCACACAGAGACCCATAGACTCACACAGAGACCCGTAGACTCACACAGAGACCCGTAGACTCACACAGAGACCCGTAGACTCACACAGAGACCCGTAGACTCACACAGAGACCCGTAGACTCACACAGAGACCCGTAGACTCACACAGAGACCCGTAGACTCACAAAGAAACCCAAAGACTCGCACAGAGACCCATAGACTCGCACAGATACCTATAGACTACTCACACAGAGACCCATAGACTACTCACACAGAGACCCATAGACTACTCACACAGAGACCCATAGACTACTCACACAGAGACCCATAGACTCACACAGAGACCCGTAGACTCACACAGAGACCCATAGACTCACACAGAGACCCACAGACTCACACAGAGACCCATAGACTCACACAGAGACCCATAGACTCGCACAGAGACCCATAGACTCGCACAGAGACCCATAGACTCGCACAGAGACCCATAGACTCGCACAGAGACCCATAGACTCGCACAGAGACCCATAGACTCACACAGAGACCCATAGACTCACACAGAGCCCCATAGACTCACACAGAGACCCGTAGACTCACACAGAGGCCCATAGAATCACATAGAGACCCATAGACTACTCACACAGAGACCCATAGACTACTCACACAGAGACCCATAGACTACTCACACAGAGACCCATAGACTACTCACACAGAGACCCAAAGACAAACACAGAGACCCATAGACTCGCACAGAGACCCATAGACTCACACAGAGACTCATAGACTCAGAGACCCATAGACTCACACAGAGACCCATAGACTCACACAGAGACCCGTAGACTCACACAGAGACCCGTAGACTCACACAGAGACCCGTAGACTCACACAGAGGCCCATAGAATCACATAGAGACCCATAGACTACTCACACAGAGACCCATAGACTACTCACACAGAGACCCATAGACTACTCACACAGAGACCCATAGGCTACTCACACAGAGACCCAAAGACAAACACAGAGACCCATAGACTCGCACAGAGACCCATAGACTCACACAGAGACTCATAGACTCAGAGACCCATAGACTCACACAGAGACCCATAGACTCACACAGAGACCCGTAGACTCACACAGAGACCCGTAGACTCACACAGAGACCCGTAGACTCACACAGAGACCCATAGACTCACACAGAGACCCATAGTCTGTTGTCCCCTCCCCCTCCGGCACCTCGGATTAGCACGGATGGCTACGTACGGTGCGAAAGAAGTCCAACATACATGCATCCACGATTCATTAAGACTATGTACATTTTGTTAAGGGGAATCACTCGAGCCATTTTTTACATGAAAATTATTGCTTTTCAGTTTTCATACAGGAGAATTAATAAAAATAAACCGCGTTTTCACGACAGCTATCAACAGTACGACGGAACAAAGGGTCACAAAAGCGGGTGTGTGGGAGGAGCGGTGGCGCAGCGGTTAGCGCGCCGATTGCGACCAAAATAAAAACCACGCCGTGACCGTGCCCGAGAGGCGGATTCCGGGTTCAAACGGCCCAACATCGCCCTCGTTCACCACTGCCACGGCGCGCGGTGGTGGTGAAGTATGGTCAAACAACCTGCGATGTCATCTTGCCTACACGGCGGTATGGGCCGGGTGGGGCCGGGAGCCAGGCCTAGCGTCATCCAGCTGTGGATGTGAGAACGTCTTGGGAATATAAAATTACGGGGTTTTTTGTTTTGTTTAATGCTTTACACACACCGGGCAACGTCGACTCGTTGTTGCGGTTGTTGCCGTTCGTAAATCACGACGAAAAGATGTATTGTTAAGATTATTCTAAATTTATAATTTTCCTCACCTTGGCGACGCCCGACGGCCTAGGCCGCGAAATTCGCCTCAGCAGCAGCAGCAGGCGACTTTTTAACCCCCCCCAGCGCCAAATCCAACCCCGTTTGAAAGAAAAAAAAACTTAAACAGAACCAAAAATTTTTTATTTCTTTTTTAAATCCAACTCCGCACACCGCCGTGGCTTTAATCGCCGTGTAAAAAAAAAAGTAACAAAAATAAAAATCTCTCAAACCGGTGATGAGAATTCAGCGAACGGCGGAAGCGAGGAATGGGGGAGGGGCGCCGAGAGAGAAGCCTGCGGCCTAGATCCGCCCTGAATCGATACGAAATTTTGTCAACGCAGGGAATCGAATCCCTTTTTTTTGTTCGTTCTTCCCACGAATAATTTGGTTGAACAAAGGGTGGAAATAATGCGTTGTTTATTATTATCGCATACAACCCTGGCTTCAAGGACGACAACGTCGTCGTCGTCGTCGGGTGACGGAGGACAAACGAGACGACGCGGTTACAAATATTCTCCAGCGATTCCGATTCGCGGCGATTCGATGCCGTTGAGCGCGAGGGTAATCGTTGTCGCGCGCGCTTCGGTGATGTCCGCGGGCGGGAAAAGTTGGGGGGGTGGGGGGAGGGGCGATTCTCATCGGGAATCGACGCGATTCGATTTGTATTGAGCTCGCGTCTTATCGATTTTCTAAATCCCCCCCTCCCCCCACCGCCGTAGGATTTCGGCGCCGCGAATTTTTATTTAAAAAAAATGATTTACGCAAAGTTTACGATGTATAAGAATCGAATTTTATTAAAAAATCGAATTATATTATTTTCGACAAAATATATGCCCCTCTAGGGGCGGCACCATACAGTGACTTCCGTGATGTCACTACACATGTGATGTCGTCACTTGTGTAGTGACATCCGTGATGTCACTACACATGTGATGTCGTCACTTGTGTAGTGACATCCGTGATGTCACTACACATGTGATGTCGTCACTTGTGTAGTGACATCACGGATGTCAGTACACATGCGATGTCGTCACTTGTGTAGTGACATCCTTGTGACATCAGGGATGTCAGTACACATGTGATGTCGTCACATGTGTAGTGACATCACGGATGTCACTACACATGCGATGTCGTCACTTGTGAGTCAATCAGGTGGGAAGAACAGAATGCAGCCATATCAATGCGTCGTAGAAACGAATAACTCAAACCAATAATATATCCATTGTACATTTGTAAGTGTTAAACCAACTCATGTAACGCCTGGAAACTGACCCCATGACCTCCGGCCAGCAGCGAGCCTACCTACTCGGCACTTCACATTGTGTCCCCCAAACACCAAACTGGAACCTTTCGCAAGGAATCATGTCTGCATTAACCACATCAAGGCCGTAGCCATGGAGTCAACATTGGGGGGGACCCAAATCTTCCAGGGGGGTCTCAGGGTACCCCCCAGAAAAAAATCTAAATTTGAAAACGAATTTCCTGCCTAAAATATTAAAAAAATCCACTAACAATAACGTCTCATAGTGTATTGTATTTTTTACCTTTTCTTGTTCCATTGTATGTAATGGCAGAGATTAGGGATTAATAAAGTACAACCATAACCACAATCATATAAACAAATCTATTTTATAGAAATATATTGGGGGGGGGGGCATTTTGAGCCTATTTGATTACTGGGGGGGATGTGTGTCCCCCAATATATATTATAATTACGGCCTTGAACCACATATACTTGTGAACATGCAAACAAAAAAACATGCTCTGATAGTATGTGCATTGTCTTTGAAACTGATTGGTCCACACCAGAGACAGCTTTCTTTAGAGGCGAGTCTCAAAAAGTGTTAGACCAGAGGACGCCAAAAGGCGAACAGCACAAAGACAATGCCACTATCAGGACATTGAGAACTCGGGGTGAGCAGCTACGTCATATGACCTCCCTTGCCAGTATAAACATAATAGGTTTCAAACACAATGCATATACTATCAGAGCATGTATATGTGCATAATAAAGGTTTTTGGGTTAGATCGCGTTATTTATTAATGTGTCGTAACCCTCCACCACCCGACACGGCCAATCAGCAAAAAAGTGTCACGTTGATAAAAGACAATTAGTTCACTACTTTAGCCCACACCGGTGTGTTGAAGAGTGAATCCACGACATTTACAGTTTGAGTACGACGTTTCGCTGGTAATTACATCCAGCATCATCGGGCAATTCGCCAGAATGGTAAAGCCCTCGCTTGCTCCCGGTCTTAAATCGAGCAGCAGGGTGACGTCATCATTTAACTCATTTCAGGTGTAGTGATTTGAGGCGGGGGGGGGGGGGGTATTGTAATGATATAATCGATTGGTAATCAGTCAATGGTTATGATTAGTGATGAGTTGTATATTAGTAATTAGTTGTAATGTGTGTTATTGTGATTATATGCTACGTTAGTAATCCGTTAATTAGTATGTGTTTCCCCTATAAGGAATTGTAATATGTATTATTTAATAATACGCTTCCAAGCCGCACTAAGCCTGTAGCTGTCAGAGTGATTAAAGTTATTTCTATTCCTCTCAATTTCAATGGATTCTCTAATTAGTCTTTGCCAGTAATAATTAGTTTTACACAACACTTCAACGTTATCAAAATCAATTGAGTGTCCTTGTTTATAAGCAGGTTCTGCCACTGCCGACAGTTGTGTTTGAGATCATTTAATTTTTCTTTGATGTTCTTTTAGTCTTATGCTGATGTTACGTCCCGTCTGTCCAATATAGCATCTGCCACATAAACAATTAACCCGATATACACCTTCTGTTGATAATTTAGGTAATGCGTCTTTAGTGCAAGATACTAGTTTTTGAATTTTGTGTACTGTACCAAATCTTACTGTAATGTTTTGCTTTTGCAAAACACGGGCTAATTTGTCAGTTACTCCTGAGATATATGAAATTTTAATTGTTTTAACAATCTGATCGCTTTCAGCAGTATTGCTTTGCGATCGTGATTTGGCATTCAGTGCTCTGTTAATTTGAGCATTATTGTAGCCGTTCTGTCGTAGTGCTTCTTTAACGTGTTTGATCTCTCTCACTAGACTTTCACCATCTGACACTGTTTTAGCCCGATGTATGAGCGTCTTGATAAGAGGATTTCTGAGCTGTATGATGATGCGAATCTGCATTCAGATAAGCATCAGTGTGCGTTTGCTTTCTGTAAACGCTGTGTTATTTTACCGTTAAGCCATGTCCAAGCAAAATATCTAGGAACGGTGTGTGTTATTCACCTCCATTTCCATGGTGAACTGGATGGCCGGGTTTTGTGCATTGAGATTATTTGGAAAATCATTAAGTGTATCTTTACCATGTGGCCAGACAACCAAAGTGTCATCCACATATCTAAACCAAAAAGATGGTTTTAATGTGCTCGAGGCAAGTGCTCTTATTTCAAAGTTGTCCACCCCTCATGGTGGCAGGAGCCAGAGCCGGTCCACCAGACCTCCTGAATACCACAGAGATCCAGGCAGTACCGGTCCAGCTCCCGACAGAGGAGTGGCAGCCTCTCCTCCGCAGTGAGCGTTCGAACATTCCACGTGGCCACACGTAGTGTTTTTTTGTTGTTTCTTGAGGAGCCGTCATAGACGCCTGTCCCCCCGGGGCCTCCGGCACAAGCTTATTTATAAAATTTTGTCGTCGCGGTTTAGTGGTAATGAATTGAAGATGGAGGGGTTACCAGCCCCTCGCACCCATCCAGTGCCCCCATTTGGCCGCTGTGGTGGTTACAAATGCCATGAGGGGAAAGGCCAATCGGAATTGCCCCCCCCTCCTCCCCCCCACGGCACTGCCCACGACAGCGTTGCCCATCCGGTACCACGGGGAGGTAGGGGAGTTGTTTTTCCATGGGCAAGGGACTATGTTTCTAGATATGTAGAGACACAGATGTCTCTGCGGGTCACGCCAGCCACAGCGCTGGAGGAGCACCGGGTGCCCCGATTGGACGAGCTAAGGGTACGTGACCGGAAGCGGGCCTCGATTGGAATAGCTCAGGGCACGTGACCATAAGTGGTGCCCGATTGGACGAGTTAAGGACACGTGGCCTAAAGCAGTGCCTTCGATTGGATGAGCTAAGGGCACGTGACCGGGAGTGGGCCTCGATTGGAGGAGTCAAGGGCACGTGACCTGAAGTGGTGTCTCGATGGAGGAGTTAAGGACACGTGGCCGGAAACGGGGGCGCCGTCCTTGATTCAGCAAGGGGCAGGGCCAAGGCCAAGGGATAAAGGGGGAGCGCTAGGGGGATTCGGGGCTCATTTTCGGGGATCAAGCAGGAAGGGGAGCTGGGCTTGGACCACTCGTCATTAGCGTGTAGTTTAGCTGGGAAGCGTGGTCAGTTAGTGAAGTGCTACAGACCTGTTCGCTAACACACACACATAGCGAGCAGCCTACATCAAGTAAGCCACACGTAACAACAGAACCCGATGTACAGTGAATTGTTTTATTAAACACGTTGCCTCCTAAACAGTCTCTGTCGTCATACACTACAAACACACACCAATCTTACCAAAAATAAAATCCAGACCACAAAAAGACAATCTTTTATCTCTCTCTCTCTACCTTGGCTAAAAAAAAACATTCCACCCATCTGTGGAGATGAGCACTGTGGGAGCGCCATGGAATCAACATGCGTTTATTGTCATTGGCTGCTATGAATGTCCACACGATGATGATAAGCCCACTTCGTTGAGCTATCATTTGTGATGGCCAGGTCGCTTCTGAAAAACAGCTACACGGCACAGTGGGCCTTACCTCGTAAAATAAAAAGTTGAATTTAGTCTATGGGTCTCTATGCACCTCCACATGTTTCAGAGTATTTGGCTGCTATAAATGTCCACGTGACAATAAGCCCCCCTTCGTTGAGGTACCATTTGAGGCTTGGTCGCTTTTTCAAAAAAGAGCTACGCAGCTCGGTTTAAACAGAGCAATAGTTTAAACAAGCGTGCACGGGCGGTCACGCGTTGTCGGAGAGAGCGGCACCGACGTCGTTGTTGTGGGCGCCTGGCGGTTCCACGTGGGCGTGCGTACGCAGGTGGCGAATCAGGGTGCAGTGCTGGAAGAAGTCGAGGCCACACTCCTCGCAGTGGTACGGCTTCTCGCCCGTGTGCACGCGCCGCTGGTGCACGATGAGGTTCGGCTTCATCATGAACCTTATGTCGCACAGGTCGCAGCGGTACGGCTTCTCGCCCGTGTGCACGCGCATGTGGACCTGCAGGTTCACTTTTTGCGAGAAGGCCCGCATGCACACCTTGCAGGAGTACGGCTTCTCCTTCTCCCTCGCCGACGAGCCGCCGCCGCCGCAGGGAAGCCGTGGCGGAACCGCCGGACGCGTAGTGGGCAACCTTGGGGTCACGTGACCCGCGTGTCGCCAAGCTTGAACGTGCGGCATTTCTCCCGACTGCAGCGACGCATGCGGCCCGTGTTCCATGGCTGCGGCGGCCTCGTCCTGGGAGCCCGGGTGGGAGGGTCCTGCGACGAGGCCGTCACCTGAAGAGGGGAGGAACAGCGATCATCTCTTGCAGCAAGTATTCTTAGTTAAGATTCGGCTCGGGGGCCTTGACGCCTGGCTCAAAGTGAGGCGGCTTAAGTGAGCCGGCTCGTAGCCACACTTACCTTGAGCCCGTTTCCCAGCTACAAATAGTTCGGGGGTGGGCAAGGGAGGGGGGGGCAGTAGTGTAGTACGGTCCAACGAACGGCAATGACCGACCGACACGACCGTGGCCGAGGCCTTTCATGAAGCGGGGGCTTGACAAACGGCCGGAGAACAAGGCGATGCATTTATTCGATAGGTTTTTCGACGCGAAGCGTTTACAGACGCCAGCGCGGCAAACGCCCCAGCGGACTGCCAACAAGCGCCGCACCTTCGAGGGTCGCGAGCCTCTGAGCGCGGTCTGTCTGGCGCCAACTGGAGGCCGCAAAGTCCTCGGCCGGGGTATGCTCCATCTCGCGTGCACGAGACCACACGATCGCCGCCACACCGCCCCCTGCATCAGCATCAGCGCGCAAGCAGAATGGTTTGGGGAAACCTTCCCCGCGTCTGTCCAAGGAACTTTCAGTCGCCACTGTGACGCAACGACATCCTTGGTAATCCCGCAGCATCGGTTGGCGGGGTTTGCGGATCGCAGACAGCGGTGCGTGCGCCGCCCACTTGCCGTACCGTGTACCACTTTCTCTTGGCGAGCCAGGGTATGGTTCGTTGTCCTTTCTCCCGCACCTCCGATTAGCACGGTTGGCTACATACGGTGCGGTAGAAGTTCAACGTGCGTACACGGCACCTCCTCATTGCCCACGGGGAAGGGAGTTTCACGACATTTGTGTTATCATCCACCGTGCTGGATTACAGGCCACGTGCATAGCCACGACCGCCCGGCTTTCCTGCTTAAATAAAGGAAATGGTATACTATTATTGCTCATATTTAAGACCGAAACAGGAGGACTTCTTCACGATTCTGGCTGTCCGCCGGACGAAGCTGATTGCTGTAATCGCCAGCGAAACGTCGCAGCACTCGAATTGTAAATGTTGTTGTGGGTTCACTCTCCCAACACACAACCCGGTTAGTTCCGGAGTCGTAACTAATTGGCACGGTTTTGTTCACGTGAGAAACCTCCTTACTAACTGGCCGTGTCCGGGTGGTGGCGGCAGGTTTAACGACACACGTTTATATTGACGCGATCTAGCCCAAAATAACCTCTACCGTGGATAATATTGATCGTTGAGTGGGGTAAGGGGGTGAACAAGAATGCGCGCGGTGAGTCCCCTGACAGAACTCGAACACCAGTACCAAGTCTGCCTCTGGGAACTATGACACGTGTAGTCCACTCCCCCACACTCTAGGACCCATGAGCTTGGCTAATGCCTACAAATCATTAAATCAGAACCGGAATATTTATTTTATATACTGGAGGAGGAATCTGATGAGCTATGGAGCTCTTTACGGTGGAAATGATAATAAGCTTCACAGCTATGAGCGAGGGAGGATGGACAATAGGGGACAGTCCACAACATTCTTGGGTCTATATTCAGGAGATAACTATTTTTCCAATTATATATAATTTGCGCTTGTTTATTCAGGAAAGCCTCAGAGAGAGAGTGGCCTTAGCGACGTGGTGAGGGACGGGGTTGGTAGCGAACAGCCCTGCGTTACCCACCCCTGCGTTACCCACCCCTGCGTTACCCACCCCTGCGTTACCCACCACCTGACCCCACACGTATCCCCATACTTCACCGTGCACGTCCCCCGAATGCGACGACGCGCAGGGCCTGTATTCCATCACGGCTGCGACTTCGTTCTGGAAGCTCGAGTGGGAAGGCCCTGCAGCAGTGAAGCCACCACCTGATGGCCAGGGGAGATGGGGGGGGGGGAAACATGATTGGTTCTCGCAGCAGGGCTGAAGAGGGGCGGCTGAGATTCAGGCCGAGTATTCCTGGTAAGATTAAAAACCAATTTTTTTTGTTAGTTTTATTTGCATGCGTTTGTTTTTTTTTCAAGGGATTTGTTTACCTTTCCTATACTTTGCACTCCTATCGTGTTTTTGTACTGTTTAAAAAATATAAAATATAAAATGAAATAAATAAATCACGTTTCGATTGCAACACAAGCAATCATCATCGGGTGCGAGAAGTACGTACACTGACAGTGTACACACTCCTCACACCATTCACCCCCCTCTACCCTCCCCCTCTCGGACTTATTTAACTGCCCTAACCCTGGTCTCTCTCCCATTTCAGTAAAAATTTCCTTGCTGTGGTTGTCACACCTGATGATGATTGCTTGTGTTGCAATCGAAACGCCGCGATTTTTATTTATTTATTATTTTTTCACCAACGTTACTTTACCGAAAGAACCAAAGAGTATGGATCCTTGCAGTCAGGAAAACTTCAAATCTAGAATTTGTACTGTTTGTTGTTGTAATGTGCCCACGTGCCCCGTGCCCACCTGCCCCTGCTGGGCATCTGTGACAAAAGAGCTTGATAACCCATCGGATTCCTCCTCCAGCATAAGTCACGGCTCAAGTGAGCCAGCTCAAAGTCACGAGGGGCGCCGCGGTGGCGAGATGTTCACTCCCTCGCCCGGTATGCAGGAGGTCGCGGGTTCGATTCCAACCCTGACGCCTGCTGCATATGTGTGGAGTTCGCGTATCTCTCTTCCCGTGGTCACGTGGATCTCTCTCTGGGTCCTCCGGGTTTGTCCCCTTCCGCGTTTAGAATCAACGTCACACGCTTCGAGTACTTGGGTGCTGCTATAAATTTCCACGTGACGACGATAAGCCCACTCCATTGAGCTATCATCATTTGTGATAGCCAGGTTGCCTCTGGAAAAAAAGGGGCTACATAGGTTCAGTGGGCCTTCACCTTTGTAAAATAAAAAAAATAGCAAAGTAGACTCAAAGATTATCCGAAGAAATGACCGGGGAGGGCGACCGCGGATAATTCAACATCGCGGATAATCCAAATGTATCTACTTTTCACGGATCTCTATGACAAAAGCTCCTAATATAGATATAGGGTATGTTTCAGTTTCTGTGCCATCGCACAGTTTAGTAAATGAAAACTCACGAAATAAATGATCGGAGAAATCGCTCAAAATGAAGCACGGCTGACGATTTCCATCGTTGCCCTTTCGACCTTGAACAAATACTAACGATCGACCGACCGACCAATGCACGTGCTCAGTGTCAGAGCATGTTGGTTTGCATGTTCACCACGAGCGCTGTGCGTGGTTAATGCGGTGAACTTGATTCCTTGCAAAAGGTATCGTCTATTTTGTGTTTGAACATCTGAACACCTCCTATTTTATTGCCAGCAAAGGGTAGAACATAATCTTATTTGTCACACTTTCCTGCTCCCGCGCAGCAGGAGACTCGGCCCCACTGAGTGGACAGCAGAGCCACGCCAATCAACATCAGTCAGACTCAGCCCCACTGTTGTAAAGATATTGCAACTCCTGTACTGTGGATTTCGGATTAACCGGCGCAAGATATTTGTTCGGTTTAAGCATCGTGTGACTTGTAATAAACATTTCCAAGGATAACAATGTTGTAAACCAGTTTTTAGATGACTAATTTGGGGCTTCAGGGGAAATCCACGAGTTGTTCATTTACGTCAAAATCTCAGGCGTGCGGTTAATCCGCAAATCGGATCAACGGCACGCGGCGAATCGAGATTCTCCAGTCGTTCAAAATTAGTTTAACTTGAGCCGGCTCTGGGCCTAGTCGCAGCTCTGCTCAGGGGGACCTCCACGAAACTGATTGGCCCACACCAATCAGCTTCCAGGAGGACAATGCTGACGTCATCAAAGCACTCTTGTTTGCACGTTTTAGCACAAGCGGTGTGTCTATTTTGGTGCTTTTAAGCCCGGTGATAATGTTTTTATTGCTGTTGAGAAATGAATATATGCAACGTTACGGAACGTTCGCGTTTTTCACTTACCGTGGGCATATTTTTTTTATCTTGATGCACGGAGTAATTATTGTTACGTTTTTATTTATCCAGGAGAGTGTCGCCTGAGTCTCAAGACCCTCTTTCTCCAGGAGGGTCCTGCCCAGTTTGTCGCAGTAGGGGGTGGGGACGCGACGATGAAGATGATGCTGCTGCTGCATGCGATCCCAATTGAGTGCTTTGCAGGTACAATTTTCTTTTTGCATTGGGGATGTTTGGTCAATCAATACAAGTTACATTGTGGGTTTGTTTTTATCTTTAGCTATGGGAAGGAAAGAGAGAACCCGGAGGAAACCCATGCAGAACAAGAGGAGAACATACAAAGATCCCCCGTATAGCCTTCACAGACTGTTGAAGCAAGTGCTGTCAGTGAGAACCAATGAAGGCCGGCACGGCACTCGAGGGGGTGGGTGGCCAGCACCACGCCCGACCGTCTTTGCCTCCCCAGTGGCGATGTTTACCCATCGCACCAGGTACTTATTTGAGGCTGAGTCGACCTAGGGGATGGCCAGGTCTGGTTCAGATAAACGTCACCGGTGTTGGCCATGAGCGGTAATCGAACCCGGGTCAACGGGTTCGTAGCACGGCGAGCCAACTACTAAACGACCTCTCAGACTCACTCACACTGCAGAACAGGAGGGAGAACATACACACTCAGACTCACTCACACACTGCAGAACAGGGGGGAGAACATACACACTCAGGCTCACTCACACACTGCAGAACAGGGGGGAGAACATGCACACTCAGGCTCACTCACACACTGCAGAACAGGGGGGAGAACATGCACACTCAGGCTCACTCACACACTGCAGAACAGGGGGGAGAACATGCACACTCAGGCTCGCTCACACACTGCAGAACAGGGGGGAGAACATGCACACTCAGGCTCACTCACACAATGCAGAACAGGGGGGAGAACACGCACACTCAGACTCACTCACACACTGCAGAACAGGAGGGAGAACATGCACACTCAGGCTCACTCACACACTGCAGAACAGGGGGGAGAACATGCACACTCAGGCTCACTCACACTCTGCAGAACAGGAGGGAGAACATACACACTCAGGCTCACTCACACTGCAGAACAGGGGGAAGAACATACACACTCAGGCTCACTCACACACTGCAGAACAGGGGGGAGAACATACACACTCAGACTCACACACTGCAGAACAGGGGGGAGAACATACACATTCAGGTTCACTCACACTATGCAGAACAGGAGGGAGAACATACACACTCAGGCTCACTCAAACACTGCAGAACAGGAGGGAGAACATACACACTCAGGCTCACTCACACTATGCAGAACAGGAGGGAGAACATGCACACTCAGGCTCACTCAAACACTGCAGAACAGGAGGGAGAACATGCACACTCAGGCTCACTCACACACTGCAGAACAGGAGGGAGAACATACACACTCAGGCTCACTCACACTCTGCAGAACAGGAGGGAGAACATGTACACTCAGGCTCACTCACACTCTGCAGAACAGGAGGGAGAACATACACACTCAGGCTCACTCACACACTGCAGAGCAGGGGGGAGAACATACACACTCAGGCTCACTCACACTCTGCAGAACAGGGGGGAGAACATACACACTCAGGCTCACTCACACTCTGCAGAACAGGGGGGAAAACATACACACTCAGGCTCACTCACACTCTGCAGAACAGGGGGGAGAACATACACGCTCAGGCTCACTCACACACTGCAGAACGGGGGGGAGAACATACACACTCAGGCTCACTCACACTCTGCAGAACAGGAGAGAGAACATACACACTCAGGCTCACTCACACACTGCAGAACAGGGGGGAGAACATACACACTCAGGCTCACTCACACACTGCAGAACAGGAGGGAGAACATACACACTCAGGCTCACTCACACTCTGCAGAACAGGGGGGAGAACATGCACACTCAGGCTCACTCACACACTGCAGAACAGGGGGGAGAACATACACACTCAGGCTCACACACTGCAGAACAGGAGGGAGAACATACACACTCCACACAGAAATGCGCCCGAGAACGCAGGCCCTTCATGCTGTCGGTAATACGCGTCACCATTGACAGTCCCCCACCAAGATAAGAAATGTCCCATCCTGCAGTGAGGCGGCTGTACATATGCCCGCGTGTTGGAACGTATTTCGCACGCAATAACGGACACGGGAGTAGGCGGGCCAGCCACGCACGTCAACCGCCACGCTGTCGACAATTCCTGCTCCACCTGGGCAAGCCGAGGGGCTCAACCGGATCGAGGGCCCCCGGTGGCGACGCGCAACAACCGCGATCGACCAGCCTGCGACGTCACAAGGCGAGCGGGCCTTACCATCGGGCTGCTCCACTTTAATGAAATGCAGGCCGTGGCTGGGGCTGGAGTCCATGTCCAGGGTCGGGGTCACGGTCGGATCGGCTGGGAACAGGCAAGACACACGACTGTGGCGTCAGTCATTGTCCGTGAGTTTCACCCAAACGGGCTGCTCCTGCAGGTAACCAAATACGGGGACTCCTCTACTTACGAGCATTTGACCTGCGAACTTTCAGAGGCAGGAACAAACCTGGTCCGTATGTCCAGTTGCGGCTGTTCGGACCGAGAGTCGTAAGTTCAACCGCCGCACAATAGATGGCGGTGGTGGCATCTACATCTGCAGAACGTGAAGAACCAGTGGCATCTACAACTGCAGAACATGAAGAACCAGTGGCATCTACATCTGCAGAACGTAAAAAGCAGTGGCATCTACAGCTACAGAACGTGAAGAACCAGAGGCATCTACATCTGCATAACGTGAAGAACCAGTGGCATCTACATCTGCAGAACGTGAAGAACCAGTGACATCTACAGAACGTGAAGAACCAGTGGCATCTACATCTGCAGAACGTGAATAACCAGTGACATCTACATCTGCAGAACGTGAAGAACCTGTGGCATCTTCATCTACAGAACGTGAAGAACCAGTGACATCTACATCTGCAGAACGTGAAGAACCAGTGGCATCTACAACTGCAGAACGTTAAGAACCAGTGGCATCTACATCTGCAGAACGTGAAGAACCAGTGGCATCTACATCTGCAGAACGTGAAGAACCGGTGGCATCTACATCTGCAGAACGTGAAGAAGCAGTGGCATCTACATCTGCAGAACGTGAAGAACCAGTGGCATCTACAGAACGTGAAGAAGCAGTGGCATCTACATCTGCAGAACGTGAAGAAGCAGTGGCATCTACATCTACAGAACGTAAAGAACTAGTGGCATCTACATCTACAGAATGTGAAGAACCAGTGGCATCTACATCTGCAGAACCAGTGGCATCTACATCTAGAGAACCTGAAGATCAGTGGCATCTACATCTGCAGAACGTGAAGAACCAGTGGCATCTACATCTACAGAATGTGAAGAACCAGTGGCATCTGCATCTAGAGTGGCATCTACAATGAACCGGAGATCTCTGGGAATAACACGGGGGGACTGGGGACTGCAGGCAAGCGGCTGGTGTCCCCTGCCCCCCCCCGGGACTGCCGAGAGCGCGCACTACCGCGGGGAGACTCCGCTTTGATCCGATGCACGGCGAGGCTGGAGTCCGAGTCGACGTCCAGAGTCTGGGTCAACGCCGGCTCATCTGAGACGAGAGAGGGGGACACGCACACACACCGCTGGCATCAGCGACTTGAGGCACGCGGGTAGCATCTAGAAGCATCCACCGGCATCCCAATGCCTCGTGCGACGCTACCACCGAGGGAGCCGCACGACCGCGTGTTCCTACCAGCGCGGCGTTAGTTCCCTCCGCTCGATCGCGCTATACCCGATTCTAAATCCGCGTTATCTATCATGAAAGCCCGGCGTTCCGTTTGTCCATCAACGAAATGATAGGAGCCTTTCGGGAGGCCTGAATCAAAAAAGTTATAGCAAGTGGACTCCCCCTCCCCCAGATGTGGGGGTAAAAAGTTGACCCAACAGGGTTGTATGTAGGGTGTGTAAGTATACATGTAGATAATATACTGACTCTTGTCTGTAGGGTGTGTAGGAATATATACCTACACACCCTACAAACAATAGTCAGTAGTATCTTCCTACACACCCTACACACTATAGAGTCAGTAGTATCTGCACACATGGGGGAGTGGGGGGGGGAGAAGAGGACATCAGTGGGGGCGACGGGCGAGGCACGAGGTCTCGAGAAGCTCTCCGCAGGAGCCAGAATAAGGCGGGCGCGCAGGCCGCGGATATTGGTCGCGAAAGCCTACCACGTGTTCAACCGAGATGATGATGTTGTTGGGCGAGTTTAACACGTAATAGGGCTTTCACGACCAATATCATCCATAATAAGGTTATTTTTTTGGGTTAGAACGCGTAAATATATGTATCGTTAAACCCGCCACCAGCCAACACAGCCAATTAGTTTAGGTTTGTCACGTAAACAGAACGTGGCCAATTCGTTACCAGTACAGCAGCACACCGGTGTGTTGGAGAGTAAAGCCACACCATTAACAATCCGAGTCCGACATTTCGCCACTAATTACAACCAGCTTCATCAGGCGGGACAGCCAGATTTGTGGAGAAATCCTCCCGATTCGTTCCATAAATAGAGGGGGGGGTAGATGTGATGACGTCACTTGTGAGCACTACTTGCGCGATGTGGGCGAGACCGGTGGGGAAATGTCAAGCATAAGAGGGGTTGGCGGGGGGGGACTTGGGAGGCGGGGGGACAGGCTGTGTACGCGAAGAGATGTTGAGAGATTGGAAAGCGTCCTCTAGCCCGTCAACCTCTTCAACATTTACAGTGGACCATATCGAAGGCCCAATTCTCCTCCTTCAACCCCACCGGGCACCTCACTTCCGACTTACACCTCACTCTGTTTGCCACCACGATCCAGTCTATTGGTCCATCGAGTCCGTAGCGTTAGCCCGCCCCACTGGCGTTGGACATCTCGCTGGTCTGAATATTCGGGGCTTCTTTTTTTGTAAATACGCTATTTCTCGCTGGGTCACCCTTTCCCCCTCTGCGCACCGAAGATGACGGCTCACGGCCGTCGGCTGGATTGACGGCGAAATAAATCCAAACTTATTCAAGCGTTAGCGGCTCTCTCCCACATCCCCGGCACCCACCGACCTCTGTATTTGGCGCACCGCGGTGGCGAGATGTTCGCTATCTCGCCTGGTATACAGGAAGGCGTGGGTTCGATCTCGACCCTGACGCTTGCTGTATATTTGGAGTCTGTGTGTCTCTCTCTCATCGTCACGGTGGTTAGGAGATGTTAAATCCCATGCCTGGCATACAGGAGGTCGTGCGTTCGATCCCGACCCTGATGATGCCTGCTGCATATTTGGAGTTTGCGTGTTTTCCCCGGGTTCTCCGGTTTTTCCCTCCGCATTTAGAATCAACATCGAGCGTTTAGAGTATTTGGCTGCTGAAACATTTCCACGCGATAAGCCACTTCGTTGAGTTATCATTTGTGGTCAGGTCGCTTATGAATTAGAGCTATATAGGCTCAGTGGCCCTTAGCTGGCAACATATAAATATTTCAGTTTATAGTTTAGTTTACATTTAAAAAGCGAGCGAAGCGCCGATTACCATTTTCCATAAGGTGACTCGTCTCCATCGCCATCAAGTTTTCTGTGGCGGATGCACCCAAGGACGAGGGAAAAGCCGCCGTATATTTCCGATCGTCGGTGTCTCCCAGCCTCCGCGCGGACAGCAGCAGCTCCCGGCTCAAGCCGCTGAACAGCGCGAGCAGCACGTCCACCAGGCCTGCCAGCGTCACGTCGCCACAGGGGGAGGAGGCGGCGGCCGCGTCGTCGTCGGCGTCGTGGGGCTCGGCGCCCCGCAGGGCCTTCACCACCTGCCGCAGCACGGCGTAGAAGCCGAAGGGCAGGCGGTCGCGCGCCGCGGCCAGCAGCTCGGCCCGCACGAGGCCGTCCCCGACGCAGGCGCGCAGGACCCCGTAGTCCCGGATGCCCAGCTCCGAGTCCATGGCCCGGGCCACCTCCTGGTTCACGCCCTGCGCCTCCAGCCACGCGGGGAAGTCCCCGATCGGCTCCGGCGCCGAGGCGGCCACTGCGCACGCCATGCTGGTGGGGACGGTGTAGAGGCGGACCGCAAAATATCGGGAAAAGTGGACACTGATTTGACGTTCAAGAATTATTATGATTACCTGTAAAACTGTTGAGACGCAAATTTTAGTTTGTTACGTGTGTAGTATCACCCAACGCAGCAGTCTTCAACTGATAGGAGTCTTTATTTCCTTCGGCACGAGACACTCGCGCGCGCCTTCAAGGATTCCCTTCACTCCAAGCGTCCCGAACTCCCTCGCTTCCCCCCCCCCCCGAGCCCCTTTCCCGATGGTTCCTTGACCTCCCGCTTTCCCTCCGACCAATCGCCTTCCCACTTTTCCTAACGGATTCCCAACTTGTCCCTCCCCTGTCAATCATCCTCCGTTTCCCATTTTGTATTTCTCCCAACCAATTCCCTTAAAATTCCCTGCCACTGACCACCGATCCCCTTTTCAGGCCCCGTTAAGTAACACAGCTGCCAAACCCATACGCTTCACCCCGTATTCTCATACAGAGAAATCGAGTTTTCAGTTCCATACGGCGTACAGCCGTTTCAATACGGGAATTTTTTGTCTATTTTGACTTAAAGCTTTCGTGACTGCAGGAAGTCATATTCTTTGGGTCTTTCGGTAAAGCCACGTAGATAGAACAAGTAATAAAAAATAAAAATAATAACAAAATCACGACGTTTTGATCGACCACTCCATCCTGTCGTCTCCACCATTAGCTCACCCATCTACAAACTGGTCAGATTTCTGTCTGAGACCTTGCAACCATTCACTGCTAAGACCGCCCCAGCTGTACTTAACTCAGCTCACTTAATATCTTCAATTAAGGACATCTCACGATCTCCAGGTGATTTGCTTGTCAGTTTCGACGTGCTATCTTTGCTTACCAAAGTTCCTGCGCCTGACACCATTGCAATCAATGAAGATTTGGTCCAACAAGGACTGAATGCTGATGTACCGGCCCTGGTTAGACACTGCCTCACCAACGCTTACTTCACCTGGAATGGAACATTCTACAAACAAGTGGCCAGCTAGGAAAAGAGCCGTTACCATGGTCCGTCACGAGCTCTCGAATCGCGTTATAGCGGGCGCGGGGAGCGAGAAAGAAACAACACGAAGCATCAAGGCGCGTTACACGAGGATTTACTGTCTTATTCATGAGTGGGTGAGTGACATGGGTGAGTGACATGGATGAGTGGGTGAGTGTGTTGAGTGGATGGGTGAGTGGATGGGTAACTGGGTGAATGGGTGGGTGAATGGGTGAGGGGGTGAATGGGTGAGTGGGTGGGTGAGTGGGTGGGTGGGTGGTTGAATGGGTGGTTGAATGGGTGGGTGAGTGGGTGGGTTAGTGAATGGGTGAATGGGTGGGTGAGTGGGTGGGTGAGTGGATGGGTGAGTAAATTGGTAACTGGGTGAATGGGTGAGTGTGTGGGTGGATGAGTGAGTGGGTGGGTGACTGAGTGGGTGGTTGAATGGGTGAGTGAGTGGGTGGGTGAGTGAATGGGTGAATGGGTGGGTGAGTGGATAGGCGTTTTAGATGGGGTTAGTGGGTGGGCGAGTCTGTGGGGGAGTAGGTGAGTGGGTAGATGGGTGAGACACTGTTTAACCACCATTGTCAATGGTGGTTAAACAGTGTCTTGTCGACCTCAGTATGAGTGGGTGAGTGAACGAGTGAGGGGGTGGGTGAGCATGAGTTTGATGGGTGATGGTGATGGGTGAGTGTGATGGGTGAGTGAGATGGGTGAGTGTGATGGGTGAGTGTGATGGGTGAGTGTGATGGGTGAGTGTGATGGGTGAGTGTGATGGGTGAGATGGGTGAGTGAGATGGGTGAGTGTGATGGGTGAGTGTGATGGGTGAGTGAGATGGGTGAGTGTGATGGGTGAGTGTGATGGGTGAGCGAGATGGGTGAGCGAGATGGGTGAGCGTGATGTGTGAGCTAGATGGGTGAGCGTGATGGGTGAGCGTGATGGGTGAGCGAGATGGGTGAGTGTGATGGGTGAATATGATGGGTGAGTGTGATGGGTGAGTGAGATGGGTGAGTGTGATGGGTGAGTGTGATGGGTGAGTGAGATGGGTGAGTGAGATGGGTGAGTGTGATCGGTGAGTGTGATGGGTGAGCGTGATGGGTGAGCGTGATGGGTGAGTGAGATGGGTGAGCGTGATGGGTGAGTGAGATGGGTGAGTGAGATGGGTGAGTGAGATGGGTGAGTGTGATGGGTGAGTGTGATGGGTGAGTGATGGGTGAGCGAGATGGGTGAGCGAGATGGGTGAGTGAGATGGGTGAGCGTGATGGGTAAGTGAGATGGGTGAGTGTGATGGGAGAGTGAGATGGGTGAGTGTGATGGGTGAGTGAGATGGGGGAGTGTGATGGGTGAGTGTGATGGGTGAGTGTGATGGGTGAGCGTGATGGGTGAGCGTGATGGGTGAGTGAGATGGGTGAGTGTGATGGGTGAGTGTGATGGGTGAGTGAGATGGGTGAGTGTGATGGGTGAGTGAGATGGGTGAGTGTGATGGGTGAGTGAGATGGGTGAGTGTGATGGGTGAGCGTGATGGGTGAGCGTGATGGGTGAGCGTGATGGGTGAGTGTGATGGGTGAGTGAGATGGGTGAGCGAGATGGGTGAGCGTGATGGGTGAGCGTGATGGGTGAGCGTGATGGGTGAGCGTGATGGATGAGCGTGATGGGTGAGCGTGATGGGTGAGCGTGATGGGTGAGTGTGATGGGTGAGTGTGATGGGTGAGTGAGATGGGTGAGCGAGATGGGTGAGCGAGATGGGTGAGTGTGATGGGTGAGTGAGATGAGTGAGTGTGATGGGTGAGTGAGATGGGTGAGTGAGATGGGTGAGTGTGATGGGTGAGTGAGATGGGTGAGTGAGATGGGTGAGTGTGATGGGTGAGTGAGATGGGTGAGTGTGATGGGTGAGTGAGATGGGTGAGTGTGATGGGTGAGTGTGATGGGTGAGTGAGATGGGTGAGTGTGATGGGGGAGTGAGATGGGTGAGTGAGATGGGTGAGTGTGATGGGTGAGTGAGATGGGTAAGTGTGATGGGTGAGTGAGATGGGTGAGTGAGATGGGTGAGTGTGATGGGTGAGTGTGATGGGTGAGTGTGATGGGTGAGTGTGATGGGGGAGTGAGATGGGTGAGTGATGGGTGAGTGTGATGGGGGAGTGTGATGGGGGAGCGTGATGGGTGAGCGTGATGGGTGAGCGTGATGGGTGAGCGTGATGGGTGAGTGAGATGGGTGAGTGTGATTGGTGAGCGTGATGGGTGAGCTAGATGGGTGAGTGAGATGGGTGAGCGTGATGGGTGAGTGTGATGGGTGAGTGAGATGGGTGAGTGTGATGGGTGAGTGAGATGGGTGAGTGTGATGGGTGAGTGAGATGGGTGAGTGTGATGGGTGAGTGTGATGGGTGAGTGTGATGGGGGAGTGAGATGGGTGAGTGTGATGGGTGAGTGAGATGGGTGAGTGTGATGGGTGAGTGTGATGCGTGAGTGAGATGGGTGGGTGAGATGGGTGAGTGAGATGGGTGAGCGTGATGGGTGAGGGTCATGGGTGAGCGTGATGGGTGAGCGTGATGGGTGAGCGAGATGGGTGAGCGAGATGGGTGAGTGTGATGGGTGAGTGTGATGGGTGAGTGAGATGGGTGAGTGTGATGGGTGAGTGTGATGGGGGAGTGTGATGGGGGAGCGTGATGGGTGAGCGTGATGGGTGAGTGAGATGGGTGAGTGAGATGGGTGAGTGTGATGGGTGAGTGTGATGGGTGAGTGTGATGGGTGAGTGTGATGGGTGAGTGTGATGGGTGAGTGAGATGGGTGAGCGTGATGGGTGAGTGAGATGGGTGAGTGTGATGGGTGAGTGTGATGGGTGAGTGTGATGGGGGAGTGAGATGGGTGAGTGAGATGGGTGAGTGTGATTGGTGAGCGTGATGGGTGAGCGAGAAGGGTGAGCGAGATGGGTGAGCGTGATGGGTGAGTGTGATGGGTGAGTGAGATGGGTGAGTGAGATGGGTGAGTGTGATGGGTGAGTGAGATGGGTGAGTGTGATGGGTGAGTGAGATGTGTGAGTGTGATGGGTGAGTGCTGGAAGCGAACGCCTCACCTGATGCAGTCACACAGCGGAGAGAGCCTGACCGCCTCCACACTCCTTACCTCACCTCCTCCTCCTCACCTCTTCTCACTCAACTCGCCTCACCTCTCCTCTTCTCTTCCTCACCTCCTCCTCCTTTCTCCTCCTCACCTCTTCTCACTCCTCAACTCGCCTCACCTCTCCTCCTCCTCACCTCCTCTCTCCTCAACTCTCCTCCTCACCTCTCCTCACCTCCTCCTCACCTCTCCTCACCTCTTCTCACTCCTCACCTCCTCCTCACCTCTCCTCACCTCCTCCTCACCTCTCCTCACCTCCTCCTCACCTCTTCTCACTCAACTCGCCTCACCTCTCCTCCTCCTCACCTCCTCTCTCCTCCTCACCTCTTCTCACTCCTCCTCACCTCTTCTCACTCCTCCTCACCTCTTCCTCACCTCTTCCTCACCTCCTCCTCGACTCTCCTCACCTCGCCTCTTCTGCGTCTCCTCGTCCTCGTCTCTGCCGAGTGCACGCGGGAGGGACCGCGCGCATTTGACTCCCGCGTCGGAGCGGCGGAAGGGGCCGCGGTGAAGTTGCGCACTCAAATGCTGACCCGAGTCAACAAAGGGAACGCGTCATTTCCACTAACCAAAGCGAGCCGTGCTGGAACGATGATATAATAGAATTAGAATTACGCAATTTCAATTAACAATGCTTATATTTATTTACGAGTATTGTTAAAGAGGGTCCCGCCATGCACTTACGGAGCGTCTAAACAAGAAATGCATCTAAGAGGTAGTAACAAACTACCGTAAACTAAAACTACTTTTCGATTTAAAGCTTTCGTGACTGCAATGACTAATCTTCTTTGGTTCTTTCGGTAAAGTCACGTAGAATGAGAATAAAATAATACATTGATGAAATAAAATAACACAATAATATTCTCACGACGTTTCGGCCATGACACAAGCGGCCTTCATCAGGTGAAGGGACGCGACTGTCTGGTAGGACAGCGCTGGAGTGAAACAGACAGTCTCGTCCCTTCACCTGATGAAGGCCGCTTGTGTTGTGGCCAAAACGTCGTGAGAATGTTATTGTTATTTTATTTTATCAATTTATTATTTTATTTTCATTCTACGTGACTTCACCGAAAGAACCAAAGAAGATAAAACTACTTTTATTTTTTTTTATCAGGTAAGGCCCACTGAGCTACGTAGTTCTTTACCAGAAGCGACCTGGCTATCACAAATTATCGCTCAACGAAGTGGGATTATCATGGTGGGGCCGTCCATAAACGACGTCACGCACCTAGGGGGGGGGGGAGGGGGCTCAGACATTTGTGACGATGTGTGACGAGGGGGGAGGGGTTTGAGAAATGTGACGTCACATGAAAATGCACAACTTTAAATAAATATAAACAGCACGTTCTATTTAATTAAATATAATTGTTCTAACAACGCTAATTTTTTTATAAATTTTCATTAATAACAATTTTATTATTTAAATTTACTAAGGTCACCTTTTAATTATTCCATGAAGGAGCATTTTGCTTCTCCATGGGAGAATGGAGAAGCATAAATTTAGAACATTTTTGGAATGATTGTTATTAAACATTTTCATTTTAATGATTCTACCAGGGCTTTTCATTCTGTGGACTGAATATGTGATTGTTATAATTGTACTCTCCATTTTGCTTCATTTTACTACAAAGTTTCAAGTATTTTTGTTGGAGTTATAATAACTTTTAATATTTTATAATTATACGAAAATTTCAATATAATATTCTGAACATCTGCGGTTTTAGTTAGACGTTGAATATTTTCAAGTAAATTTCATGCTAAATTTCAGCTTTCCAACGCCTCCTTTTTAATCAATGTTTTCTCCTACAACATCAGAGTGCAGTGCCACATTAAATACACACAATGACAATAGTTTAAAGCGATTTGAAGCATGTTTTATTAAAAAAATGGAAATATGTTTTTTTTGGGGGGGGGAGCTTAATGACGTCATATTTGAGGGGGGGGGGTCTGACTTTTTGTGACGCCGTGTGACGAGGGCAAGGGGGGGGGGGTAAAAAATCGGCCAAAATCGCGTGACGTCATTTATGGACGGCCCTTTACGCAGGGTGTAACGATGGCTTCCCCCTCCCAGGACGACTCCATTCGGGGCGCCACGACGGCGAGATGTTATCTCCCTCGACTGGTTATGGAGGTTGTGGGTTCTGATCCCGAACGATGCCTACTGCTGTACATTTGGAGTTTGCGGTGTCTCTCTCATCATCATCATCACAGTTGCGAGATGTTAACTACCTCGCCTGGTATAGAGGAGGCCGTGGGTTCGATCCCGACCCTGACGATGCCTGCTGCTGTGTATTTGGAGTTTGCGGTGTCTCTCTCTCATCATCATCATAGTTGCGAGATGTTAACTACCTCGCCTGGTATACAGGAGGCCGTGGGTTTTGATCCCGACCCTGATGATGTTTGAAATTTTCATGTCTCCTCTCTCCCCGTGGTGGTCGCGTGGATGTTTTTTTCTTCGAGTCCTCCGTTTTTTTTTCCCTTCCGCATGTGGAATCGACGTTACACGTCTTAAAAGAGTTAATCGGCCGCCGTTTCAAATTGTCCACGTGGCGATGATGAGCCACTTCCCGCTGGGCCATCGTTTGCGATAGCCCAGGTCGCTTCTGGAAAATAGATTTTCACCTCCGTTGGCCTTACCTGGTAAACAAAAATTTGTTTTTAGTCGACTTCAGTTTCAGCGCATCTGGACCGCAGACCTGGTGGACGTAGGGGCTTTGACCGTACGGCCGCTTGTTCTAAATGGTCACCCGTCAATGGTGTGTATGTGTGGGGAGCGGTAGTGGTGTGTATGTTTATGGGGAGTGGTAGTCCGGCAAAACAACCCCCTACCTCTTTGTTGGTGCCACATGGTAACGCTGTGGTGAACAGTGCCATGGGAGGAGGGCAAATTTCGATTGGCCATTCCCCTCATGGCAATTGAAGCCACCACAGCGGCAAAAGGGGGCTCTGGACGGGTGCGAGGGGCTGGTAACCCCTCCACCTTGAATTAATTACCACTAAAACACGAATTAAAATTTTATCAAACTTGTGCCGGAGGCTCCGGGGAGACAGGCGTCTATGAAGACTCTTCTTCTGAACAAAAGAATGAAGGGGACGTGGGAGTGTGGAGGTGAGGTGTGGGAAGCTGTAAGCCCCAGGCTTCTTTGGGCTCACCTTCCCATCAACCAGAGGCGAGGAGTGGTGGTCGTGGTTACTTATGCCCCCACCGAAGACGAACATCCGTGTAGGGATGCAGGCGAGCCCGATGAGTCAGATGCCTTCTATGACCTCCTGTCACAGGTGCTGGCTAAATGGGCCCCTCGGGATCGAAGGACCAATCACCTGGTCTGGAGTGACTGGAAGGCATGAGCCAGGTCAGCTCAATAACAGTAAGAGGCTGCTAGATTTTTGTGCAGCCCATGGACTGTTCTGGCATTGGCGCATCCACACATCATGGATGCATGCCGGGTCCAAGCAAGAACATCTGCTGGACTACATAGTGATGGTACAGCGGATGCGGGACCATGTGCTTGACACCAGGACCTACCGTGGAGCTGATCTGCCCTCTGACCATCGACTTGTCATCTGTAAGATGCACCTGCCATCCTTCCACTCCGGTGGTGGGTGTACACCCAGGACCCCATTTAAACCCTTAGTTGCCTGGTCTCAGCTAGCTGATTAAAGTTGCAAGCGAGAATTTCATCATCGCTTGCAGCTGGGGTTGGCATCGTACCCCACTCTGCCTGACGTTGAGGGGAAATGAGTGAGGTTTAGGACTGTGGCTCATGCAGCTGCAATGGCTGCTTTGGGTACACAGTCCAGACCTCCCCAGAGACCCTGGCTGACAGAGGTGTTCAGGCTGGCTGAGAAAAAGCGACAGGCCCACTCTCAGTCTAAAGCATGCCATGTCAGAGAATGAGGAGGCTTACTGCAGCCTTCGCTCGGAGGTTCGTTGAGCCGTGAGGCGCTGCAAGGATGGGTGGTGGTCGCGGGTTGCTTAGATGGAGTCTGCCTCAATGGCCCGCAATCACAAATCGCTCTTTAACTCCATCATAAAAGTAACTTGCAGCGCCACAACGATTACCATTAGGGGAAAGAACAGTGATCCAATCTCCGACCTCCAGGAATAGGTTTGCAGATTTGCAGAACGTTTCTGTGAGGTCCTGGGGGAGGGGAAATCTGGACACCATAGTGGGACAAAGTGGAGATGACCCTGCTGAGGCTGCGGTGCCCCAAATATTGGAAGTCACCCCCTGTGAGTGGCTGGCTGAGGTACGATTAGGCCTCGGCAAGGTAAGGTAATTTACCCTTTTTACCGGGTAAAAGGTGTTGACATGCCAAAGGGTAAGGTAAAGGGTAGGGTAAAGGTAGCTCGGAATAATTACCCGGTAGGGTAACGGTAGCGCGAAGTATTAACCCGGTAAATACGGTGCCTTGTTTACCGCTAAGAGCTCCGTGGCGCAGTCCGTGGCCTCCATTTAATAAGTAATATATAAACAAACTTTTTTTAAAACACGCTTTTATGAAATGTACTGTACGAGTAATGTCAGAACTCCACGACTCCAGGAAGTGGCCCCGAAGCTTGCCACAACGTAGGGGACCGTGGCCAATTACAGCCAACGTGAGTTGACAGTGGACAATTAGACCCAAGCAGAAATATAACATAAAATGTTTAAAAAATATATATATTTTTATGATAGAATATAGTATTGTCATCAGTATGACATAAGTATACCAAGTTTGCAGTCGATACCACATTGGGAAGGGGGTTAAAATTGAGTTACAAGATTTGAGGATACGACAACAGAGTGAGTTAAAAGATAGTGTGTAAAATTGGAATAATCGAGAGTATTATACATGAATAAAGTGCTCTAACTAGCATTTACCTGTTATAAACATTTTTCATGTGTAGTACCCCAGTAATTACCCTGTAATCGGGTAATTTGTATGGGGTAAGGGTAAAAGGTAGGGTAAATTTTGATTTAAAGCTTTCGTGACTGCAGGGATTCATATTCTTGGTTCTTTCGGTAAAGTCACGTAGAAGGGAAACAAAATAATAAATAAAAATATAAAACAATTAAATTCTCACGACGTTTCGACTGCAACACAAGCAATCATCATCAGTTGTGGTTTTCACACCTGATGATTGCTTGTGTTGCAGTCGAAACGTCGTGAGAATTTTGTTTTATATTTTTTTTATCATTTTATTGTTTCCCTTCTACGTGACTTTACCGAAAGAACCAAGAATATATAGGTAGGGTAAAGGTAGGCTCGTTGCTTTTAACCTTTTACCTTACCTGCTGAAGGGTAAAAGGTAGGGTAGAGTGATTGTATTGTGGTAAGGTAAAAGGTAGGGTAAAGGTAGGCTCGTTGTTTTTACCTTTTATCTTTCCTTGCCGAGGCCTAGGTGCAATCTGTTGAGTAAGCATGTTGTATATATATGCCTTTTTCCAAAAAAATATATTAAGAATGATTCAGCCCAAAATTATATATTTTTTAATTGATCTGGATGTAGCGCGGGGGCAAGGCAGTAGCTATAAAATGTAACAATAATAAAAACCCGGTGAAAGGGGATGGCGAGGCTTGCAGAGTAGCGATGTGTCGGCGCTGACAGACGAAGCGTCGCGAAAAGTTGTATTCTACATTGAGTGCCGGCTCCCACCAGCAGCTGCAGCAAGAGAGGAAGAGAGAGAAAGAGTGACGAGCAACGACAAGCAATCAACTTTGGAGAAAGGGCGAAAAGCGCCAAGCATCGACCAAGCGAGCATCGCACAGCACCAGCAGCAGCGGCTCACGACTACCCACGAGCGTGCGGACTCAGAAGCCGAGCACACTCCTACAAAGGTCGAGTCTACAAGCATCAACCGTGCCTGGTGCAAGGGAGCGAGCGTGACCGGCGCAGCCTAGAAAGCCGGCGACCGGCGGACGAGCTGCGAGCGCAATCGTGCACCGTCAGGGACGAGCGTCGTGCCGGCTCGGCAATCATCCAGCAGCGGAGAAGAAAGCACGGGGAAAGAGAGAGAGAGCACGTGATCAGCGCAGCCGAGGAAGGAAGTCGGCGCCGGCGACCAGCAGACGAGCTGCGAGCGCAATCGTGCACCGTCAGGGACGAGCGTCGTGCCGGCTCGGCAATCATCCAGCAGCAGAGAGGCCTGCAGCTGCCTCTAAGAGAGAGAGCGCCGTGTGTATGACACGCCCACACACGACTCATCGCCCCACCTCGGCGTCTGCTTGACACAAAGAGTTGAACAAGGATACAATACACCCACACACACACATAACGCACATATCGGGACTAATAAGATTACTCCAAAGTTATGCTTGTGTTTCGAAAATGGCCATCCGAAGGTGGTGCGTTAACTATTTTTGCCTTAGGGACATGTTTCTTCATTACTGTTCGTATGGATATTGTCACATTCATTCTTAAGGACTTTTTCCTGCTCGCTTTACTCTGAGGAATTAGCCGATTGTTCTGTTACCCAGTTATACAAACGTAACCATTGAGGGTTAAATGTACGGATCAATCAGGAGGACATCTCCAGGAGTACTGTGTTGACATTCCTAGCATAAGAGTTCGTATATTAGAGTGTTATGTTTTTTTATATTAAAGTTGCTTAACACAGAAGAGTCTGAGTGGTGGCTTCCTAACTTCATGCGTAATAATCTAAATTGTTAGAACTGTTTCCTGGGGTGAGATCTGAATTTTGAGACCTGACATAAACACTACAACATAATCGGTAAAAGTTAAAGCGAGAATCATTGCATTATCACGATTGGTAATACACCCGAGAAAACAAAGCCGAGCCTAATAATCATATTTGCATACATTAGCATAATTCCATGAATTACATGTTGTATTATCCCGATGGATAAAACAACCCTAGACAACGAAGCCAAGCCTAATTAGCATACTTACATACACTTGCATAACGTCATACAATTACACCTTCATTTTATTATCACGATTGATAATACCCCTAGGCAACGAAGCAGAAAGGAATTAGCATAAATGCATAATTTTCATAATTACACAAATTATCATTTTTAATTTTCATTAAATTTTTATTCTTTTTATAATTTGTCAACACCTAATATATACAACAAGTACTGAAGGCGATCCAGAGTCTGAGACCAGTAAAGGGACCGGGCAGAGATGATCTCCAAAGCAAAATGCTGAGGGTGGCGTTTGTGCACAGACTGCCCGACATGACATCATAACAACAGTCTGGACCACTGGATGGGTTCCACAGGATTGGAAAGATGCCCTGGTGGTCCCCCCTCTTTAAGAAGTGGGACCGCACTTTAAAAATCAGCAAAAGGGTTGTATAGATACTATGTATTATGAAACAAAAGGCAAAAAACGAATGTGTCTATATACAAGTACATAGTTTAGTCCTTATTCAGTATCTACTCGGCGGTTCTTGGCTTGTCTCTTGTATTCATTAAATGGAACATCTCTTGTCACTTTCCAGCAATGGTCTGCAAGCATTGAAGGGCTCCATTTGCCCTGATAGCGTTTCTCCATCGTTGCAATGTGCTGGTGACATCGCTCGCCATGCTCGTCGCTCGCTGCTCCGCAGTTCGGTGGGAGAAAAAATCTAGATGGGAGTAAATTTATTTTTTTAATCTTTAGTGACATGTTGCAACCAAGGCTTTTCTATGCCTTGAAGTTTTCCACCAACTCCCTGTAGTTGTCTGCCTTGCTGTTTCCGAGAAAATGTGTTGCCACTAACTGGAAGGCTTTCCATGCCGTATTTTCCTTGCCACGTAGTACACGGTCAAATGCATAATCTGGAAGTTGTTCACGAATCTGAGGACCAACAAAGGCACCTTCCTTTTATCTTAGCTTCATTTCACCTTGGAAAATTTTCCACGGAGGTACTTGAAAGCTGCTTGTGTTTTGTCCATGGCTTTGACAAAGTTCTTCATCAGACCCGGCTTCATGTGTAAGGGTGGTAACAAAATCTTCCTTGATTCAACAAGTGGTGGATGCTCAACACTTTTCCTCCCAGGCTCCAATGACTGTCGGAGTGGCCAATCGATCTTGATGTAGTGGGAATCTTTCGCACGATTATCCAAGTTTCAGAGAAAACAGCGGTACTTTTGTGAGTCCAGTCTGCAGACCAAGCGAGAGAGCAACAACCTTCAAATCGCCACAAAGCTGCCACTTGATGTTGGTCATGGTTTATGCACCTCAAAAGTTGTACCATGTTGTCATAGCTTTCCTTCATATGGACTCTATGACCAACTGGAATTGATGGCAAAACATTGCCATTATGCAGCAAAACAGCTTTAGGACTCATCTTCGATGAATCAATGAACAGTCTCCACTCATCTGGATTATGAATGATGTTGAAGGCTGCAATCACACCATCGATGTTGTTGCAGGCTACAAGAATAATAAAAATGAGACAAGATCCTGTTGACAATCATGGAACATGGCAACCCTAACATCACCTGCCAGGAGTTTCCACTGCTGCAGACCAACGGTGCTCTGCCTTACGCTTGGGTAGTTCCAAATTCCTAAGAAGATCTTTCAGTTCACCTTGTGTTACGAGGTGTGTGGTTCAGGAGGATGGGAGATAATCTGGGTCATGTGACCTTGATGGTTCAGGACCAGAAGTTTCATGCTCCTCTTCCTCGTCTGACTCAAGTGAGAATGATTCTGGTGCATCAGGAACCGGCAGTCCTTTTCCGTGGGGTACTGGGCCTATAGCTGATGGAATGTTCGGATAATGCACACTCCACTTTTTCTTTGACACACCTTTCCCAACGAGAGGCGCCATGCAGAAATAAAAATTGCTGATATTATCCGTTGGCTCTCTCCAAATCATTGTCACTGCAAAAGGCATAGATTTTCTTTTCCTGCTCAACCACTGGCAAAGATTTGTTGCACAAGTGTTGCAGCATATGTGTGGGACTCACCTCTTGTGCTGATCTCCAATTTTACAGCCAAAATAAAGGTGACGGGCTTTCTTAACCATCGTGATTATACTGCGCTTTTGTGATGCAAAAGTCACTTCACCACAAACATAGCAGAAGTGGTCTGCTTTGTTCACACAATTACGAGGCATCGCTGCTCACTTTGGCTAAACAGAAATGTGTCCCTTTGCAAAATCAAACACTGACAAATAGGACGGCACGACACTGTGATTTATAGAGCTGATATAGGGCACTTTGTTCAGCAGAGGGATGTAAGCCTAGTTATGATTGCATCATCCATGACTTCTATGAACAAGATGACAATTCATATCATATAGGACGCAATCCAGATTGCATCATTCATTGTTTTGCTCAAAAAGCAATTACTGTCCAAACCCAGTCATAGATTTATTCATAGATCCAGTCAGATGTATTTTAGTCATTTCTGGTTTAAATTGAGATCCCTTCCCTTTATAACCAACTTATCCTCTGCCATTCCCAAGTCAAGGGTCGTATATACCGACCCAGTACCATATCTTGAAAACTAGAGCCAATCAACAATTTTAAGCATCATTTTCATTCTCAGTGACCCAGAATGAGTTAAGTTGGACTATATTTATTTCGGAAGCATTCTGGCTGCAGCAGACCAGTGTAGTCAGAAACCTCACGTGGTGGGTACGTCCTTCGTCAAAGACGCGGTAGAGAGAGAGATTCTCAAGGCTTCTCCAATAAATCAAACTCCTTCCAAGCGGTCTTTTCATCCTTCGCACAGGCAGGAGAGGCCGCATTGTCGCACGCTCTTTGCTACGGAGAAATATTTTTTATTTCAAATCGAGACAAATTAAGGTGCGCAGGTACCAGCCGTGGTGAACTCATTTCGCGCCGTAACATAGCCAGCCATGCTAATCGAAGGTGCGGCAGCGGGGGTAGGGCACCAAACTCAACGGCACTGCAGTCTCTTCACGAGGACATTTTTTACCGGCGAGGATTATCCGGAATTCTCACAAGAGCGAGCGAGGAATTCTCAGCGGCCACGCGGCCACACGGCCACACGGCTCCTCCATTCACCAGGTCGGCGTCCCAGGATCCCGTCATCCCGGCTAGGTGGCAACGCGGCTCTCGCGAGCCACCAACAGGCCGGGATCTCGAGACGCTTAATTGTTTGGCGCCCCGCACACCCAGTTCGGCTCCGAAGTGTCGAGCCGTTTGTTGCCGCCGGCCCGGCTGGGCTGTGCTGCGGTACAAATGCTCACCTTGCACTCGGCCGGGGAAAAGTGGCGAGGGCTGGAGGTGGGAGCGGTGGGGTTAGCGTGTTGATCAACTGAGCACCCCCCCCGCCCCCGTTACCGACATCAATGTGGTTCACCAACACCGCTCAACGGGCGTGAAACACACAAACCCCCAGCTCGGTATCACCGCCACCACCGCCGCTGCCACAGCCACCGCCGGCCACACTCATCCCGGCGAGGAGACACCGACATCCGACTTTCGATCCCCGCCCGAAACGACGCGCACGCATCAGCCCCCTCTGCGCCGCGCGCGTTCCGTACCCCTCACCGTGCCAAAGGGCCGAACTGGAAAAAAAAAAAAAAATCCCGCGGGCCGTCGCGGCCGCCGGCAACACCGGCGCCGCCGCCGGCGAGCCCTAGCTCTTTGCGGACGCCGCCTCGCCCGCGTGCGAGCGTCGGTGCACGCGGAAGTAGAAGGGGTCCCGGAAGGCCTTGCCGCAGTCGTCGCAGTGGTGGCCCGGCGCGTCGGCGTGCGACCGCCGGTGCCGCGCCAGCGCCGACGAGCTGCGGAAGGCCTTGCCGCACTCGGCGCACGCGTACGGCCGCTCGTCGGCGTGCGCCCGCCGGTGGTAGACGAGGCCCGCCGAGTCGCGGAAGGCCTTGCCGCACTCGCCGCACGCGTACGGCCGCTCGCCCGTGTGCGTCTTCAGGTGGTACTCGAGCCCCCACGAGTCCCGGTAGGTCTTGCCGCAGCGGGAGCAGGCGTAGGGCCGCGCGTCCTCGTGGCTGCGCGCGTGCCGCGTCAGGCCCGACGACGAGCGGAAGGCCTTGTCGCAGCGGGAGCACGCGTAGGGCCGCTCGCCCGAGTGCGTGCGCTCGTGGTAGGCGAGCCCGGACAGGTCGCGGTACACGCGGTCGCACAGCTTGCAGCCGAAGGGAGCGTCGCCGCCGCCTCTGCCGGCCTTGCCGGCGGCGGCGGCGGCGGCGGCGAAGCCGTTGCCGTCGCTTCCGTCGGCCGAGGCGGTGCAGTGCCCGGACGCGACGTGGGCGCGCAGGAGGGCGGTGCTGCCGGCCTCCTCGCCGCAGCGGTCGCACGCCTGCCGCCTGCCCGCGCGACGCCGCCGCCGCTTGACGGGGAAGGCGCCGGGGCCGCCGACTTTGCCGGTTCCTGCGACCGGGAGGATGATAAAGGGTGGGGAGAGAGAGAGGGCCGCCGCCATGGTGGATACGATACGTCATATCCCTCGCCTGGTATGCAGGACACCTGCTTGCTGTATATTTGGAGTTTACGGTGTCTGTCCCCGCGATCGCATGGATTTTTCTCCGGGTCCTCCGGTTTTCACCCCTGCATTTTAAATCGACGTCACTCGTGTATTTGGCAGCTACTTTACAGTCACAGGGTCACATCACGGCGCTGTCATGTCACTGCGTCACGTCACTGTGTGACGTCACGTCACTGCGTCACATCACTGTGTGACGTCACTGTGTCACGTCACTGTGTCACGTCACTGTGTCACGTCACTGTGTCACGTCACTGTGTCACGTCACTGTGTCACGTCACTGTGTCACATCACTGTGTCACATCACTGTGTCACTTCACTGCGTCACGTCACTGCGTCACTTCACTGCGTCACGTCACTGCGTCACGTCACTGCGTCACGTCACTGCGTCACGTCACTGCGTCACGTCACTGCGTCACGTCACTGCGTCACGTCACTGCGTCACTTCACTGCGTCACGTCACTGCGTCACTTCACTGCGTCACGTCACTGCGTCACGTCACTGCGTCACGTCACTGTGTCACGTCACTGTGTCACGTCACTGCGTCACATCACTGCGTCACATCACTGCGTCACATCACTGCGTCACTTCACTGTGTCACGTCACTGTGCCACTTCACTGTGTCACGTCACTGTGTCACATCACTGTGTCACTTCACTGTGTCACGTCACTGTGTCACGTCACTGTGTCACATCACTGTCACATCACTGTGTGACGTCACTGTGTCACGTCACTGTGTCACGTCACTGTCACGTCACTGTCACATCACTGTGTCACGTCACTGTCACGTCACTGTGTCACGTCACTGTGTCACGTCACTGTGTCACGTCACTGTGTCACGTCACTGTGTCACTTCACTGTGTCACGTCACTGCGTCACGTCACTGCGTCACATCACTGTCACATCACTGTGTGACGTCACTGTGTCATGTCACTGTGTCACTTCACTGTGTCACGTCACTGTCACGTCACTGTGTCACATCACTGCGTCACGTCACTGCGGCACGTCACTGCGTCACGTCACTGTGTGAACTTCACTGCGTCACTTCACTGTGTCACGTCATTGTGTCACATCACTGTGTCACATCACTGCGTCACGTCACTGCGTCACGTCACTGCGTCACGTCACTGCGTCACGTCACTGCGTCACGTCACTGCGTCACGTCACTGCGTCACGTCACTGCGTCACGTCACTGCGTCACATCACTGTGTCACTTCACTGCGTCACGTCACTGCGTCACTTCACTGTGTCACGTCACTGTGTCACTTCACTGTGTCACGTCACTGTGTCACATCACTGCGTCACTTCACTGTGTCACATCACTGTGTCACATCACTGCGTCACGTCACTGTGTCACTTCACGGTGTCGCGTCACTGTGTCACGTCACTGTGTCACATCACTGTGTCACGTCACTGTGTCACATCACTGTGTCACTTCACTGTGTCACATCACTGTGTCACATCACTGCGTCACGTCACTGTGTCCCTTCACTGTGTCACTTCACGGTGTCGCGTCACTGTGTCACGTCACTGTGTCACGTCACTGTGTCACGTCACTGTGTCACGTCACTGTGTCACATCACTGTGTCACGTCACTGCGTCACATCACTGCATCACGTCACTGCGTCACATCACTGTGTCACATCACTGTGTCACGTCACTGCGTCACGTCACTACGTCACGTCACTGCATCACGTCACTGCGTCACGTCACTGTGTCCCTTCACTGTGTCACATCACTGTGTCACGTCACTGCGTCACGTCACTGCGTCACATCACTGTGTCACGTCACTGTGTCCCTTCACTGTGTCACGTCACTGCGTCACGTCACTGCGTCACGTCACTGCGTCACATCACTGTGTCACGTCACTGTGTCACGTCACTGCGTCACATCACTGTGTCACGTCACTGCGTCACGTCACTGTGTCACGTCACTGCGTCACATCACTGCGTCACGTCACTGTGTCACGTCACTGTGTCACGTCACTGTGTCACGTCACTGTGTCACGTCACTGCGTCACGTCACTGCGTCACGTCACTGCGTCCCTTCACTGTGTCACTTCACGGTGTCGCGTCACTGTGTCACATCACTGCGTCACATCACTGCGTCACATCACTGCGTCACATCACTGCGTCACATCACTGCGTCACATCACTGTGTCACTTCACTGTGTGACATCACTGTGTCACTTCAGTGTGTCACGTCACTGTGTCACATCACTGCATCACATCACTGTGTCACTTCACTGCGTCGCGTCACGGTGCAGTCACTTCACGGTGTCACGTGACAGTCACATCACGGCGTCACAGTCACGGCGTCACATTACGGTGTCACTGTGTCACAGCGTCACAGTCACTGTGTCACGGCATCACAGTCACTGTGTCACAGCGTCACAGTCACTGTGTCACGGCATCAGTCACGTCACGGCGTCACATTACTGCGTCACAGTCACGGCGTCACAGTCACGGCACACACCGTCGGCGTCGTCTTCGGCGTTCCCCGCCGCCGGGGCCTCGTTCTCGGCCTCGGCCTTAACGTTGCCCTCCTCCTCCTCCCCGTAGAGCTCCGACGCCTCCGCTTTGCAGACGAGCACCGTGGCGCCGGCGATGCCAAGGCCGTCGTCGCCGTCGTCGCCGCCGCCGCCCACCAGCTCTTCCACCTGCACCTCGGCGTATTCGACGTTCTCGGTGCGCGCGACGCCCTCCATGTTCTCCACGCTCTCCACGTTCTCCAGCACCACCGTCATTCCCACCTCCTCCAAGTCCACCGCTGTCGGACGGGACGGACGGAGGTGCGGCGGTTAAACCCGGGGTGGCGGCGGCGGTCGATGGGGGGGGCGGGGGAGGGAGAGAGAGAGGTTGCGGGGGGGGGGGCGGAAACGTCGGACGTCGCGCGGAACAACCAGCGGCACAAACTAAAACTAAACAAAAAAAGATTATTTGACCAGGTAAGGCCCACTGGGCTATGTAGCTCGTTTTCAGAAGCGTCCTGAGCTACCACAAATGATAGCCCAACGAAGTGGCTTATCATAATAGGGGTTTTTCCCCTTTTTTTTCTGGCAACAAAACTGAAACCTCTTTACAAGGAATCATGGCGTGGTCTAGCACCAATTGAGACGAGGCTCAAAAGAAAGCCGTCTCTGGTGTGGACCAATCAGTTTCAAGGACAATGCATTTACAATGCATTTATATTATCAGAGTGTGTTTTTTTGCATTTTGACCACAAGTATTGTGGTTAATGCAGTAACATGATTCCTTGTAAAAAGGTTTCAGTTTTGTTGCCAGAAAAAAAAGGGGAAAAACCCTATTATTATATTTTGGTACCGGCAAAGGAGGTCTAATGATTAAGCGGCTTATCATCGTGTGGAAATGTATCGCAGCCAAATACTCTTAAACGCGAGTTTCAAAATGTCGAGGGAAAAACCGGAGGACCCGAAGAAAAATCCACGCGACCACGGGGAGAGACACGCGCAAACTCCAAATGTACGAGCGTCAGGAGTCTGGATGGAACCCGCGACCTCCTGTATACCAGGCGAGGTAGTCAACATCTCGCCACGGCGGCAACCCAGGCGCACGTTCGGAGGGCTGTGCGGCAGAACAGTCAAAGGCCTACGCAGTCGCGAGGTGTTCCAAGCGTGAAATCGTTGGGAATGCAACCCATTTCATCTGTTCTCACGCAGATATATGCGCCCAGACTTCACCGACCGGCACTGACCAGCGAGGCGAAATATGCTTATATAATCCCCCCCCGTCACAGACCTATAGACTCACACAGAGACCCATAGTTTGTTTCTCAACGTAGCTGCACTCACACAGAGACCCATTGGCTCTCACAGAGCGAACCAAAGATTCAAAGAGACTCATAGCCTCACGCAGAGACCCAAAGACTCGTGTAGAGACCTATAGACTACTCGTAAAAACACCCGTAGAATCAGACCCATAGGCTCCCACAGAGATCCATAGACTACTCACACAGAGACACATAGACTACTCACACAGAGACCCACACACTACTCACACAGAGACCCATAGACTACTCACACAGAGACCCATAGACTACTCACACAGAGACCCACAGACTACTCGCATAGAGACCCATAGACTACTCACACAGAGACCCACAGACTACTCACACAGAGACCCACAGACTACTCACACAGAGACCCATAGACTACTCGCATAGAGACCCACAGACTACTCGCATAGAGACCCATAGACTACTCACACAGAGACCCACAGACTACTCACACAGAGACCCATAGACTACTCACACAGAGACCCACAGACTACTCACACTGAGACCCATATATTATTGTCTTTCCCCCGCACCTCCGATTAGCACAGTTGGCTACGTACGGCGCTAAAAGAAGTTCTACACACGTACACGTGTACGCACATGACCCCGCACGCGATGGGGACGCTCTCATCCGGCAGTGGACCAACAACGGGCTATCGATGTCACCACGACCCCAATTAGAAAAACGGCAATGTGCCTGACGAGCGAATCGTCATGAACCAGCCCCAAATCTCGCCGGATCTCGGCAGCCCAAGCGTAGGTTGAGATTTGGCCCGGAAATATCAGGCATCGTAGGCTTGACGGCCAGGACATGGTGGGGGGGGGGGGGGGGGGAGTAACAACGGTCCTTGAGTGGAATGTCGTGAGAATTGAAAATAAATGTATGATTTAACTCTGCAGGCAGCGGTTTCAGCACCCCGCGAGAGAGATCAGCGAAATAAAACAACGTAGGACCACTTCTGAAGTCACTTGGATAGAGCTCCTTATGCACGCCAAGGGTAAAAGGACAAAAAAAACTATTTTAATGCCGCCCTGCAAAAGAATGTTCATTGGAGCTTAAAAGAACAAACGTTTAAGCCACCGAGCTGGAATTTTGGTAGATTTACAATGCGTGTAAACAAAAAAAAAATATACAAATTTAAAAAAAAATGTTACATTGGAATTTAATTGAAATGCGTACAAACCAAATATATGAATGCATTTAAATGTAATGACAATTTGTGTGAACCAAAATAAAATGTAATGCGGCGTGGTCCTTTCGTGGTCGTCGGCGATCGATGCTGAGAACACGACAGCGTGTTCACGTCGTGTTCTCGTTCACGTCGTGTTCGCATTGTGTTGGTGTCGTGTTCGCGTCGCGTAACGTACGTCCAGTCGCCTGTTCGGACCGAGAATCGTAAGTTCAACCGCCGCGCAATTTGATGGCGGTGGTGGCATCTACGTCTGCAGAACGCGAAGAACCAGTGGCATCTACGTCGACAGGAGATTATACAACGTTGAAAGCCATTAATCGTGTTTAGTGTACATGCACGTACAGCGTGTTTGGACTTACGAACAGACCTGTGGAACCTAACTTGTTCGTAAGTAGAGGAGTCCCTCTACATTATTGTGCACTCCTATCGTGTTTGTTGCTGTAACGTTCTTACCCCGTGCCGCCCCTAACTGGACATCTGTGAAAAAGAGAGCTGTCATTTGTGGCCAGGTCGCTTCTGAAAAATAAGTTAATAAACTCAGTAAGGCTTTGCCTGCTAGGATGGGGGTGGCTTAGTTGTATTTGTGTTTGTCTGGGCGATTTGCTCACTTTTCTTGTACTCTGTACGTTGGTGTTTGTGCATTGTGTTTGTTGTTGTAACGTTCTTACTCCGTGCCCCCCACTCTGACTGGGCCATCTGTGAAAAAAACTAACTTTACAGCCCATCGGATTCCTCCTGGAGTAGAAATATTCCGATTCTGATTGAAACCAGCATTGTTATTCCCCCTCCCCCCCTTTCCGCTTGGCGTTTTTTGTTGTTGTTCGGGTGGCAACCCAAGTTCGATTCCTGGCCACGGCTACCATCAGCGAGCAGAGCGATACCAGTGGCTTGTTACCGGTCCATACTCTTTGGTTCTATTCGGTAAAGTCACTTTACCGAATAGAACCAAAGAGTAAAGTGACTTTACCGAATAGAACCAAAGAGTATGGATCCTTGCAGTCACGAAAGCTTCAAATCTAGAATTGTTACCGGTCCCTGGGCAGTTGCCACCGCTGAAGCATCGTGATGGTGGTGGTGGGGAGTTGCTGTACACGAGTGGAACAGCCTCCGTGTGGCTGGTGTGCGGGAAGACAAAGGGCCCCCGTGTAGCCTCGAACAGACTGTTGGGGGCCGAGTGCTGTTAGTAGCGAGCAGCAGACGCACCTATGAAGGCCGCTACTGTGTCACACACGAGGGGGTGGGTGAGTGACCACCACCACTACCACCACCATGTGAGCACAACATACATTACACACACGCACAAAGACAAAGATCCCCCGTGTGGCATTTAAGACCTTTGGGGGGCAAGTGCCGTGAGCGAGTAGCAGCAGCAGCACCTATAAGCAAGGCAGGCACGGCACACACGAGGTGGGTGGGTAGCGCTATTTATTTTACCAGGCAAGATCCTATTGAGCTATGTGGCTTTTGCTTTGTTATTAACAAGCGACCTGGCCTATCACAAACGACCAGAGCTCAACGAAGTTGGCTTATCATCATCGCCACGTGGAAATTTCCACGCGGCCACCACGAGGAGAGAGACCGCAAATTCCAAAAATACAGAAGAATATACAGCAGTAGGCATCATGGTCGGGATAGAAACCCACGACCTCCTACATACAAGGCGAGGTAGTTAACATCTAGAAACTGTGTTGATGATGAGAGACATCGCAAACTCCAAATATACAGCAGCAGGCATCGTCAGGGTCGGGATCGAACCTACGACCTCCTGTGTACCAGGCGAGGTGGAGGTGGTGGGAGTAGACGTGGGGGTAGAGGTGGGGATAGAGATGGATGGTGAAGGTGGTGGTGAAGGTGGTGGAGTTGGTGAAGGCGGTAGTGGAGGTGAAGGTGCTGACGGTGGAGGTGAAGGTGGATGAGGTGGAGAAGGTGGATGAGGTGGAGAAGGTGCTGAAGGTGGTGGAGGTGGTGAAAGTGGTGAAAGTGGTGAAAGTGGTGAAAGTGGTGAAAGTGGTGAAAGTTGGTGAAGGCGGTAGTGGAGGTGCTGACGGTGGAGGTGGTGAATGAGGTGTGTGGATGAGGTGTGTGGATGAGGTGTGTGGATGAGGTGTGTGGATGAGGTGTGTGGATGAGGTGTGTGGATGAGGTGTGTGGATGAGGTGTGTGGATGAGGTGTGTGGATGAGGTGTGTGGATGAGGTGTGTGGATGAGGTGTGTGGATGAGGTGTGTGGATGAGGTGTGTGGATGAGGTGTGTGGATGAGGTGTGTGGATGAGGTGTGTGGATGAGGTGTGTGGATGAGGTGTGTGGATGAGGTGTGTGGATGAGGTGTGTGGATGAGGTGTGTGGATGAGGTGTGTGGATGAGGTGTGTGGATGAGGTGTGTGGATGAGGTGTGTGGATGAGGTGTGTGGATGAGGTGTGTGGATGAGGTGTGTGTGAGGGCCTTGTTGGCAGACTTGAGAGGTTCGTTGGCGTTCTGAGCAGGAGGGGCGAGGAGCCAAACGCGATCCCCTCCTTTGTGGGATCTCGTCTCTTCGTCTACGAAGCGAAGCCCGTTCACGACTTGCGCGAAGGGGGGACGCGGGATTGTAACAACAAACAAATAAACAACAACAACAAACAGCGGCTGCATTTTTACCGTCTCTGTCCTCCGTGAGTGCGTCCATGGGGGCCAGTGGCGGGTGCTTGCTGCTGGTGGGAAGCTGCAACCTCGCAATGAGCCGCCCTGCGATTGGTCCCCCCACCTCATCCACCACGAGTAAGATGGCCTGTGATTCGTCCGACAACACAACCCCCCCCCCCTGTCCCCGCTTGCCCCCAGCCCCTCCTCTCATCAACACTCGCCCCGCCCCCACTGATTCCTCGCCCCCGCCTACAGATTATTAGCCCCGCCCAGCGATTCCTCGGCCCCTCCCACCATTTCCTCGTTCCGCCCCCAACGAGTATTCGTCCCGCCCACTCATTCTTCGCCCTCACCGATTCCTCGCCCCGCCCTCACCGATTCCTCGGCCCCGCCCACCAATTCTTCGTCCCGCCCCCACCGAGGTATTCGTCCCGCCCATTCATTCTTCGCCCCGCCCTAACCGATTACTCGCCCCGCCCTTACCGATTCCTCGGCCCCGCCCACCAATTCCTCATCCCGCCCCCACCGAGGTATTCGTCCCGCCCACTCATTTCTTCGCCCCGCCCTAACCGATTCCTCGCCCCGCCCTCATCGATTCCTCGGCCCCGCCCACCGACTTCTCGCCCCGCCCACCCGCCGGGTCTCGTTGAGAGGGCAGTGGGCCAGGAGCAGCTGCAGGGGGTGGAGGGGGGACGATTTAAGGATCCGCCGAGCCCTTTCATTCCCCATACAACTCAACAACAACAGCAGCAGCAGCGGCAGCAGCAACAACCGCCGCTGGGACGTCACCACTGCGCTTGTGCCAGGCTAGGTGCACTTTGGAGGCCACCCACTTACAAAAAAATCCGCAGACTACCTGCTGGATCTCCTCTCTGTTTCAAAGAACAAATTTGACGTCAGGTCTTCGCTCATTTAGCAGCTTCACATTCCCTATTGCCGTAACAAAAACTGGAGGAAGGGCCTTTGCTATTGATGCCCCCAGGGTCTGGAATGCTATTGCCAATAAACTGCAACTTGAATCACTACCTATGAGATCTTCTCTGAAAACTGGTCTTGAGGAGTTGTACACCCCTAGCTGCCACTGCTATTCATTGGCGTAAAGTAAAATTAAAATGTTTCGCTCCGGATGACGCTGCAAAGTATTATCTGTATTTTGATTTAGCGTGCATTGAAAAATGTGATACTCCGACTGATGCTTCTGTTGTTGTGGAGTAACTCATGCAGCCAGCTATGGCTTTAGGGTTTGGTGTTACATGTTATTTTGGTTTGGACATGTTTGTTTTGTTGTAGAACGGAGTTAGACTGACGGCTTTAATCTAAGTTTTATTGTGGTTGTTGTTTGACTTGCATCCCACTGGGACTTTTTTTGCACACAGCGTTGGTGTACGCTGTTTTTTCATGGATTTTCTGTTTGCACAGTCACATAGTCACTTTAAGATGTTTTCTTGTTCATGTTTTTGTTTGTTGTGGTTGCACCCGATTCAAGAGCCGAATGGCTCACAGGGCTATACCAAAATAAATATAAACTGAAACTGAAGTGTGTGTGTGGAAGGCTGTGGGTTGACGGAGATGAGTGGGGCGCCACGGTGGCTAGGAGATGTTAACTACCTCGCCTGGTATGCAGGAAGTCGTGGGTTCCATCCCGACCCTGACGCCTGCTGCTGTATATTTGGAGTTTGCGTGTCTCTCATCATCATCACAGTGGCTAGATGTTAACTACCTCGCCTGGTGTACAGGAGGTCGTGGGTTCCATCCCGACCCTGATGCCTGCTGTTTTATATTTGGAGTTTGCTCTCTCTCTACTGGTCACAAAAGCAACGTTTGCGGGGAATAATAGCCATTTCCTGTACTTTTGAGGCATACGCAATTAAAAAATAACACTTACTACCCAGGAACAAAAAAAAAACATGTTTTTGTTACACAGTGAAATCCAATAGCCCGTGGCTTCCTAACATCGGAAGGAGCGTTCCAGACGACCGCGGAAGCGCATCTGAAATCGCCGCGCGACGTTGCAGTGACCACCGTCTCTGTCCGACTCTGTCCGACGGCTGAGCCAAAGGCGGGCCGCCGCTGCCGCTGCTACCGCGGGGATGACCGGGGTGTCACGTGACGACGGTCAATGCCCCTCGACATCGAGGCAGCGGTGGCTCATGTGTGAGCACGCACGTGCGTGAGCTTGGGGAGCGGTGGTGCAGCGGTTAGCGCGCTGCGCTATGAACCTGGCGAACCGGGTTCGATCCTCGCTCACGGCCAACACCCAGTGACGGGCTAACCGGTCCTGTCTCCCCCCCTAGGTCTGACTCAAAGTACCTGGTGCGGTGTGTAAACATCGCCACTGGGGAGACAAAGGCGGTCGGGCGTGGTGTTGGCCACCCATCCGCTCGTGTGCCGTTCCGGCCTTCGTAGGTGCTCGCCAACAGCACTTGCCCCTACAGTCTGTTACAGGCTACACGGGGGTTCTTTGTCCTAGTGTAACGAGTGCGACCTTATCAACGTGTTCGTTCGGCAACCGGGAAAGCAAATGCAGCTCGGCGAGCATCGGACGGACACGGCCGGATCCTGGAGTACCCCAGATTGGGAATGGGTTTTCTACAAGGTCTGGGGGTCTCCTCCCAGAAAAAGAAAAATCTAAATTTGAAAACGAATTTCCTGCGTAAAATATAAAAAAAAAATTCACAAACACTTTTTATTTATTTTTAACAATAATGTCTAAGAGTGTATTGTATTACATTGCTCTGTTTTTTCTTTTTTTTTCACCTTTTCTTGTTTCATTGTATTTAATGGCAGAGATTAGGGATTTATAAAGTACAACCATAAACACATTCATATAAACAGAAATCAATTTTATCGCAATATATGGGGGGGGGGGGACATTTTGATCATATTTGAATATTATAATTACGGCCTTGGTGTTATATATTTGTTTTGGCCACACAATCGCGGAGTTGACTTCCTTTGACGAATGTGTTGGGGTAGGTTCCCCTTCTCCCCTCTCGTGCCATGGTGTGGTGGATTCGGCATCACGATGCTATGGGAGAGACCCGGTCAGTCACTCCCACAGAGGAAACGATTCCGAACCGATGTACAGAATTGCAAAACGAAACCCCGCTGTAGAAAGCGTGACATATTGTTTAATACTTGTTGTCAATATGATACACATATATAATCTCAACAATGGAAACGGTAAAAAAAATCGTTAAAACAGTGAAATACAGTACGGTAGTAGTAGTACGGTGTAACGTGTGAAGCGGTGTAATAAACATGTTTCACAAGCATGCTGAGAAATTCATGGCAGCGTGAGGATGAAATCAACTTGCAATTTTGGAAACAAAAAAAATTCGACAGGACATCGCGGACGGAGGTTGCGATTGGTGGGGGGGGGGGGGCGACACGACGCTGGATGGCAGGAAGGGCAGGTTACCAAGCCGGGCCGGACTCGCACCCAACCTGAAGATGATGGTTGGTCGTCGATGGCAACGAGACTGTGGCGGCAGCGGTTATTGGAGGTGCGGCTGCTGGCCGTGGAGCAGCAGCCACGGTAACCCGACGACTTTCTCTCCGCCGTGGAGCGCGTCAACGTCGCTTTGCCCGTGCGCCAGGCATCGCCATGTGGCAGCTTGACACGACGGGTGGGCTGCGGCTCCTCCAAGCGGTTCACACAGCGCGTCGGCTGAGCCACTGATACGCGACGAATTGCACTCGTGTGTGTCCAATAGGCACTCGAAAAAAAATGTGTGAGCATATTGCCCAGACAAACGTGAAAACGGGACGTTAGCCTGGAGCCACCAGTGGAAATTGACACGTTCCCAAAGCCAGCCTACACGCAATTCATCCCAACTACCCCCAATTGCTGTACACATTTTTTTTATGCCACGGAGATTGAGAAGCTTCACCCACCCCCCCCCCAAAAAAAAAATGTGCAATAGGTGAAGCACATCTCCGTGGCTCCGACGGACTATGAAAGTTGACATTCATTGCAAGAGATCGCTCGTTCGTTGGTTTCTCAGTCCGCTTGTCCCGTCCCGCGGCATGTTGAGTAGCGGCGGTCCAGAACCTCCCTTTCCCTGGCGACGGACTTCCCCAGCTCTTCCTTGGGGGGGAATTCCCAGGCCAGCCGAGCGACATTGTCCCGCCAGCGTGTCCCGGGCCGGCCCTGGGGTCTTCGCCCAGTGGGACGTTGCTGCTGCCCGGTACAGGATCAGGGGGAGTCTACAGGGGGTGGGTGAGGGGGCATCCTCATCAGGGTGCCCGAACCACCTCAACTGGCTCCTCTCCATCCGCAGCAGGAGCAGCAGAGGGCTCCACTCTGAGGCTCTCCCAGATTTACCGATCGCTATGAAGTGAAAAAAAGAAGCATTTTCTGGAACAGGGCTCTGCGAATTTACACTTTCAAAAGTACCAGAAATATATTTCTCCGTGAAAGCGAGTGGGGGGGGGGGGGTGCAGGGGCAGTCAGAGACGCAGCTTAGGCCTCGGCAAGGTAAAAACAACGAGCCTACCTTTTACCTTACCACAATACAATCACTCTACCCTTAGGTTTTACCCTTTAGCAAGGTAAAAAGCCAAAAGCAACGAGCCTACCTTTACCCTTACCCCATACAAATAACCCGATTACAGGGTAATTACTGGGGTACTACACATGAAAAAGGTTAATAACAGGTAAATTCTAGGTAGAGCGCTTTATTCATCTATAGAAGACTCTCGATCATTCCAATTTTAAATGGAGGCCACGGACTGCGCCACGGAGCTTTTAGCGAGCGGTAAACAAGGCATTTACCGGGTAATACTTCGCGCTACCTTTACCCTACCGGGTAATTATTCCGCGCTTCCTTTACCCTACCCTTTACCTTACCTCTCGGCATATCGACACCTTCACTCGTTAAAAACGGGTAAATTACCTTACACCTTGCCGAGGCCTAGAGACGCTTAATCAATCGGTGCTGCACAATATTCACAGTATATTCTTTAAAAAATAACATTCAAGGCACTTTGAAGACCAGGCCACACCAACGCTGCATAGCACCCGGAGAGGAATCATATAATGGTTTACAACCAAAGAATGTTGGAGCAAGTGCTGTTCGGTAGCACCTATGAAGGGCCAGGCGGACACCTTATTCTCCCCCAGAGCTGATGCATTCACACGCCGCACCGCATACTCACGTG